CTTCCTGGAGTGTGTCATATTTTCTCCATGACCATCCAGGCAATTCCTTATCCACCAAATGGTCCATCCATCAAATCCATGTCTCTCCAGTTTAGAGACAAGATAATGTGGGACAGTGTCAAATGCTTTGCACAAGTCCAAGTCCAAGTGCTCTTCCCTTAATCCACCAATGCCATAGCCCCATCCTAGATCTCCAAATCCATCAGGCACCATCTGCCTTTAGTGAAGATGTGCTGGCTGTCACTAATCATCTACCTATGTCTCACATACCTTAACATGGTTCCCAGGAGGATCTGCTAATGGCAAGAGTTTAGTCTGACTATAAAATTGCATTTTCTGTTTAAATAGAAGCCAAGAATCGCATGCTAGCTGTAGACTTATTGCTTCTTTCTTCCATTTGCAGTTAGCATAGGAATCACCAAAATAACTAACTACAGAAAGCAGTAAGCAAAAGTTGTTTGTTCAAAGGGAAAGTTAAGTTGCAAAACTGAAAGTTAAGTTTCATAATCACACAAGTATCTTGGTAGCAGAAGAGACTCATACAAGAAGAAAATTTATTGTCCCTAAAACAATGTTGGCAATAACATACTAACTCTAGAGGAGCTCTCCAAAATGCAGGTGGGCACCTGCTAACTTTTCCAACAATGTAATGGTTGGCCTTCATGGCACCAGTGTACACTGAAAATGAAAACCTCTGACTTGCATTGCACAGGAGCAGTTATTTAGCCACTGCTGAATACAAATAGCCAAAGATCTGCATCCTAACTTTAACTTGTGAATTGTACTGCTACAAAAAAATATAAGCCCAGAGAAGACTATAAAATATAAAACTTGCTGATAAGAGCTCATTGCAAGGAAGCATGATCAGCAAGCCCACACTTTCCTCCATAAATATTTTCAGTGTTAATAGAAAAGTACCAAAGAAAGAAAGACACAAAAAGTATATTTTGCACCCCCTTTCCTCCCACTTTTTTTAACAGTGGACAGACAGGAGGAGAGCAATGGCAGCTCCTGCCCAAATAATTTCATCAATCCAAACATGATCAATCTTACAGCAGACAAGAGGAACAAAAACGAGCCACCATCTGTGGTGTCTTCTGGGTGGCAGCACAACTAGCATTTTCTGAGTGAGCTGACACTCATGTCAGAGACAAGAGATGCATGTTGGTTTTAAAAAACTTTTGTATCATTCTAAATTTGTTTTTTATAATCTATATTGAAAGATACATTGATGCCAGGACTGGCAAGCTGCTTTTTTGTGAAAGATGCTAACAACATACCTTCTCAGTGGCTGTCATTGTATCATCATGGTGTGTTACACCCCTCTGAAAGTAAAATTAACTGCCAGCAATGTGATACCTGAATTTAATTCAGAGCTCTTTGCACTCCCTGTTACTTGGAAGATATTAAAGACCCTCCCCGGACACCCATTGTGTTGAAAGCTGCTAAGAAAAGTCCATATACACTGAGGAAACCTGGAATAGTGTTTTGGAGATACTCATTTTTTGAGGCAAAAATGGTTGAATAAGTATCAGTAAATTGTCACTTGATACACAAGCATCAGTCTCCCTTTCAGAAGATAGATCCAATACATTAATTGCTGAAGTGTCATCAAATATCTGACAGATCAGATCCAAATGGTGTGGTGTGCTTACACCAGACGGCAATTTGAGTCTTCAAAGTAAAGTTACAGACTTCTTTGCTGTAAGGTTTCCAAATGGGCATGTTTTGAATGTTATTTATGGACATCTGCCCAGACCTTCAGATGAACAACTCAAGGGATGTGAGCTTCCACTTCAAACTCAGTAACAACATCTCAGCTCTCCAGTTTAACTGTTGAATTACTGATTGCTTCTGCAAACAGCCAAAAGAGTGGGAAAAGCCAAGAGGGAACTAGAGGTTACTATAATGGTGGAAAATTAAAAATAAAAAGGCAAGCAGAGGGAAGGAGAGTCTAGTGGAGGACAAGAAAGACACACAACACCTGAGAGTACTGAAAGAAAGGGACACTGAAAAGAGAAGAGGAACCACAAAACTCCTCTCAACCTGAGAGACCCAGAAGCAAAAGCCAAGCCATGCTCCAAGCCCACCAGCTCACTCAGTCCTTCTTTGTCTCTTCCCAAAGCTTCAGGCTGGTCACTAAGGTCAGGGAACAGGGTTGTGCTGTGGCAGGACCTCCAGCATCTGCACTCCTGTCCCCTCAGTTACCACAAGGATTGGGCTTCTCCTACCTCCTTTTTCCATAGCAAACAATCCCGCCAGAGCCCCCTCATTGCACCCAGGGCCTCCAAACCACTCCAAAGACAGCCCTTGCTGAGGGCAGGATGCTCAGGAGGCTCGGGACTCGAGCAGCCCTCCGTCCTTCCTTGGGGGAAACCTGAGGCAGCACTGTCAGCACAGACCCAAAAAGACAATAACCACATGAGCCCCAGCACAACACACATAGTTTAACTTTACCAACCTGATCCATGCTCTCCACAGCCCTTAGCCAGGTACCCACACTCCGGAGAAGCAGATAAAAGGCACAAAACACAGCATTTGGACGCTGCTGCCGGCCCCTCCCCTCATCCCTGAGGGCCGGTGCTGGGCCCAGGTGTTCCCTGTTACCTGCCCGGCCCCGCAGCTGCTGCCCCTCAGGACAGGCTCCCAGCAAAAACTTCCCACGAAACTTTCCTCCAGCCTGAGCCATCAACTAAAACCTCAGATTTCAGCACACACTGTCATGTATGTGGCTGTGCTTTGACATCAGTGATACTTTTACATCACACAAACCCCGTTTCTGTTGTGGCCAGGACAAGCTGCTGCTTTGCGACGAGGAGTAACAGCGCTGCTCTGGTTTGTCATCCATGCTGGATTAGGGCAGGGGTGAGTGCATGGAGCCTTCCCCCTACGCCTTAGACTTGGTTCTAATGTCCATAGCCAGTACTCCCTGGGAATATTTGCCATCCTGACTGGGCTTATGAGCTGGTTGCTCAACACTCAGCAACGTACTGCAGAAAGTTGCCCAGACACAGGGTAAAGGACATTCATCTGCTCTCTGGAGCCATAAGTGTGTGCTGGTATCTGCTGGTTACACCTCACCTACAAATAAAGAACTGGATCTGAAGATGGGCCTGGTGTTGTTTGGTCTAAAATGTTCTCTGATCATTAAACCTGCACATTGCTGGGGCCAGGGGCGACTGGACTCACAACACAGCCGGTGCAGTGCCTGCTCCTTTAGCACTGTCCCCCAGCTGAGCTGGAGCTCTTGGTGCTGCAGCTGGCCAGAAACCTAAACACAGCATTGTAGAGCTGGCTTCAGACCCAAGATTATCACAATAAAGCCAGGGATGGAAGCACACTGTGGCAAACTTATCTCTGCTTCCAATGACCACTTAACCATGCAAAACACAGCAGTTCTGTGAGCAGGGCTTCCCTGCACATTCCCAATTCAAAGGGAGAGGGGAAGCCAGTTTTAAAAACTAGGGCAAAGGCCAGTAAATTATCACAAAATTATTTAAACAAGGAACACCAGAAAATCAGCTTTGTGAATGAAAAGTTTGTATGAGCTTCTGTAAGATGAGGGGAATAAGCATGTTTTGCCTCCCAAATATGACCATCAGCTGAAGGCAGCACCCCTTCATCAGTGAGAAATTTCCAAGAACTTTGCAGAACTAGGAAGAAGTAAAAGCAATAATTAACATGACTTTCTACTCTACTTTATGTCTGACACTAAAAGTAACGGGCTTGTCTAACCCACAGTGTATTTATAATCCACATCTTATGCCTTGCTCTGTCCATGATTTCATCAGCAAAAGGTGTTTAGGGTTTTCCTGGCATTAAGTGGCCAGACAGAATGCATTAGTCTAGAAATAGATTATTAAATTCCACTGTCAGACTGAAGTGGTCAATAAACACAGTAGAATGAAAGTCCTTCAGTTATATAAAGCTTTATGTGTACTGTTAAAACGTTTCCAAACAGTATGGTTTCAGTCCTGCTTTGATTTCTTTCTTTTCTAACCCTTCATTTTCTTCTGTCAGGCCTTGTCCTTCCTCAGTGTGTAGTACTGCCAGCTAACAAGTTGCTTACATCTTTTTGGGAACCATCCCTACTCAGCAAAGTGAGCCAAGTCACCACATATGGATTCTAAACTCTAGGACTTCAAACCACTCACATAGTTGAAGAATCACAAATCAACTCCATTTCTTCTAGGCACAAAAGGATGTGCTTCCAAGCTGATGGGAGAACTCTTTCTTCCCTTTCAAAATGCAAAGGAAAATTCAGTAAAATGCTGTTAAAGTCATAGGCTGCAAACCTGTGACAGCCCCACCCTCTCACCTGCCTACTCAGCAGCAATGCTAAAAGGATTATCTTCAACTCATCTTCAGTCCAATCAATCATTTGTTTTTAAAACCACATTGCTGTTGCCTTTCAGCACATCATAAATTTGTACCAATAGAGATTCCACTGTCATCCACATGGGACACCATAAGTAGCTTGGATGAAACCAAGCATATTCAAGCCACAAAGGACCAGAAAATGGGATGTCCTTTTTAGGAATTAAGACAGGCAGGAATTTTTATAGTAGTTGTTGTTGCTGGTTTTGTTGACTTCTGATGAGAGATACTAGACAACATACGTTCTTCTGAGCTAGAACCACGTCAACACCAGAAACCTATTTGTGAGATCTATTTCAGCAGAATTACTTTCTTCTCAAAGATATCTTAAGCCTTCAGTAAGGAGTCAAGAAATCACAGCCATTTTTTTGGACAGTTTTAATTGTCTTCATCTTCTCACTTACCGTGACCAGGATTAAACTGGATGAACAGAATGGGCATGTTCTGGTCCTGTCTCAGACTGCGTTCAGCTTAAGTTTACATCTTACATTCAATGTACCATGGTTTTTCAAAAATGCTCCTGCTGTCAAAGCACTGTATGGTTCTCAGCAGCCCACCACATAAAATATTTAATTCTCCACACTTGCTCCAAAAGTATATGCAAAAATAAAAAATGCAGAAAATTCAAACAATGCACAAGGGTGGCCGGTTTTATTTCAGGCCCCAGTATCACTGAGGCTGAGAAATCTTGCATTTAAACCAGATAAAACAATGCCCTCTAGTGTTCTGTGGGGAAATTCCATACAAAATTTCTGAAAGCCTTAAAAAAAACCATGTACCAACTCAGGTGACAGTCGACATTTTGAAAGCTTACAGCACATATGCAGCACCCTTGGAATTTTCTGTGTATCACTGTGGCCTGCAGAACTATTTGGGATCCGTTCTTTTCCTTATCTCCACTGCTGATACTTGCATCATAATTTGAAATACCATCTGTGGACAGTCTTCCCACCTGGGGCATATATCAAATCACATCATACCACCCTGGACCTTCCCCAAGTACACACAGAATTTGGTACACTGTGTTACTGACCCATCACACAAGCAGGATGGAATTTTTGGCTTGAGGAGCTTTCTTACAGAGCTCCAAAGTTTAGTAGAATTCTTTAAGGCAGCAGCTGTCTTAAGATATTGATAAACTGCAAACAAAACTATCCAAATTCAAGAAAGACTTGAGCAAAGTGTTCTCATAGTTAACAAAAACTCTTGCAGAGCTATCAAAATATTTATTTACATCCTGTATACACATTACAAAATTCAACTTTGCATCCCAAAAAGGACTGGAAGAGATTGATAACTGAAGGTCTGAAAAGCAAAAGTCCTTGATGAAGGCTGCTCTTAAATAGGCAGCTAGGAGTCCTTCAGTTTTTCCATCCATTGCTCTGAAAGATAACTACTGGGCTCTCACCATCTAGATTAAAACTTGAATGACTTTGATTAAACCTTTAATCACATCAAATACTTTAAAAATCATTAACAACAATAAAAAGTCCTGTTAGACCACTGTGCTTTTGTTATTTTACATGACATTGATCTGCTGCAGATAGAAACCACAGATCAAACGGGAAGCCAAAAGAAGAAAGGTATTGGAAAGAAACACCAATTTTGTCAATTTCCTACCTGAAATACAGGGGGGAAAAGATTAAACTGGCTATTTCTAACAGGCTATTTTCCCCTTCCCTAAGGAGGGGACTGGTACACTTAGAAAACTGCCAATACAAAGACAACATCAGTCACAGATGCCCTAAGCCCTATGTGATTATGCAGGCATTGGAGGGGGCAGCAACACGACTGTCAGGTGAAAGAAAGATGCTGTAATATGGTTGGACACAAGGTATTTTCTTTTCCAAACTCAATGATTCTTTGATTCTATTAAGCTGGAATTTGTTTCTTGTACAATTTCAGTCACACAAGTGGGCCTATTAACAGTGATTCTCACTCCTCTTGGGACATTCACTGGAGTAAGGTTAACACAGGCCTGGTTTTTCTTCAGAGGGAAGCTAGCTTGGCCTCTTTGATAGGTAGACAGAGGCTGAGCTCTTCAGACTAGGTATCACCTTGCACCTTCCAGAGGAATTTATTCATAAGAACAGAACATCAGAAATCTCTTTAAGAACTTTTGTTCATAAAAGTCAAGTTCTGAAAACAAAAGCTTGCCAGAGTGATCATGCAAAAATATAGAGAACACCCAGTGAGAGCATATACCTAGAGGAAATTCTGGAATGATGTGGCACTTGTAATAAGCCTTGTGTCTGAGGCTGCAATTCAGAATTTGGATGTAGAAGTGGGACCAAATTAGACATTTTTGAAATTAGGTTTGAGCTAGGAAATGCCAAAATTTAAATTGCTTTCTTCTCAGTGGGCAACCAAAACATATTCTAACTAAACAAGCAGATTTTTTTTTTTTTTTTTTTTTTTTTTTTTTTTTTTTGTCTAATGAGAAGTGGTTACTGCCAAGCATTCTGGCCTGCAAAGAAATTATTTTTGATCTTATTATACATGTAACCAAATTAAGGGAGAAAAGAAAGCACTTTAGAGACCATCCGAAAGACAGCCAAAGGAAGATATTCAGTGTTTGCACTACTGCACTAGGAACTCATATTTCTTAGAGGTCTGACGCAATACATCTCTGTAACTGAGTGTATGCACAGAACATTACCTTGGAGAAATTGCTTGTATGCATATGTTAAGAAAAACAGGATCAGTTTCCTCCCTGTCATACTGTCCTTCTGTTTGCAAGGAATAGTGTGAGAAAAGGACCATTCAAAATCCAAGGTACAAAAAAAGCAGTGGAAGGATCTGGGGAAAACAGACATTATCTCGAGAACCCGGTTTCCAGCCTGAGTGAACAAAACAGCTTTTCCAGGTCCTTCAGCTTATTCAACAGTCCAGTGCCTTTCAGACACATTCTCACCTCCTCTGGGAAGAAGCAGAACAACTTGAAGGAGAATGGAGGAAAATGCTCCAACATCCATCACAGAGAGGTCACACACATACATGCTCTCATATCTTGACAGCATGTATGTTCTGCAGGGCTGGGAGCATTCTACTAGTGCTTCACCAGGCAAAGATGCCAAAAGTGTCCAGGTAAAACACTAAAACCATCTGAACTGAAAGTAGTTTCATCAGTGAAGTATAAATTGAGCTTTTCCATTCTTCACCTTGGCCCTCTTCTTGCACAAGTGCTTTGCTATGAGTCTAGTGCTGGTGCATTCTCCGTAATTTCTTTCTGTGTCACTGTCTGCAGGTACCTCAGTCGCATGGAAGGGAGCTGCTCATAAAGGTCAAATCCTAAAGGACTCTCTGCATTCACCAGTCTGTAGTACAGCAGGTGCTTTTTCAAGTTCTGAAAAACGAAGCAGAAAGGTATCTAATCTTTTCCACCATCTCCAACACAACACAGCAAATCTGCAAATAGTACAATTCCATCATGACCAAGATATTTAATTACATCATCTTCAATAGAAGAGCTATAAAAGGCAAGTTTCTTCCACTAATATTTACTCTTTTTTTTGCATGAGAATTACTCTTCTAAACACAACTCCAGTCTCCTCAACAGCCCCTCACAATGACTTCTTGCCAGAAACCAAAGTGGATTTTTGAGTGTGATCTAATAATTTACCCTGGACACAAATCACAGAAGGCCAAATGACCCATCTCTGTGCCACAAAGAATAGATTTTGGCAAGCTCCTTGAAAAAAAGAGAAACCTTAATCTGTCCTGTTCTTTTCAGGGGAAGCATCCAACGAAGAGTTAAGAAAGATCACTGCTGGTCACCTATTCATAACTGTGCTACAATCATCCCTCTAATATCTCTAGCTATCCAGATATAATGCTGCTTGGACAAGAAGCATGGAAATACAGTATAGGGGATTCATCTAGGTTCCAACAGGCTCAGTGTTTTGAGGTCAGTTACTACAAGAAGTAGTTAAGCGTATTTATAGATATTGCAGGCCAAAATCCTGCAGCAAATCTCCTCTCATTGTCAAATTAGAAACATAATTAAACACAAATTTCAAAGCCAAATATAAGTCTGTAAGAATACCACAACTGGAAAACTGGAAAACTTAATACCCAGCAGCACAAGCTGAATCTGACAAATCCTACCTCATCCACCAATAGCCACGTCTTTCGCAGCATGCTTTTCCGAGCAGCATCTGTCTCCTGGGAACAAAACACATACTTTCCTTAATATGGTGCAGTAACACCTTTGCCCAGGGGCATACAGCACTCCAGGATGACTTGTTCATTATAATGATGAGTAACTTGTTCCAGCAGAAAGTGCTGGAGATGTCTTATCACTGAAACCCTGCCTCTCTGCCCCTTTTCCTAATCTGAATCTCAGCTGACTTCTCAACCTTCAGGTAGAATTGCAGATCAGAGATGAATTTTTGCTGGCACGATTTATTGATAGAGGCCTCAAGGCCATGGGAGGGTTTCTGCTTGGTTACTTAAGCAAAGTCAAAGAAAAGAGTATTTTGCACCTTAAGATTGCTAAGGCAGAGGCCAAATCTATTACAATTCTTCCCCCCAGACCACAGAATACATAATTGCTGACCTCAAGGATTTAGGTAGGTCTACCTACCATTAATGCAAGTGTGTTAGGGTATAATGAACAAAAGCTGCTGCCCTGTATGCAGATCCTCAAACAGCTGATGGGTCCTCAACACATTTGCTTACTGTCTTTGTTCTCAAGTCCCAAAGGTCAACAACTCATTGCAAGGCACACTGGACTTACAGGGAGAGCAGATGCAAAACCAAAGACAGTAGTTCTGAAGCTCTGCTATCCATTACCCACCTGTGTTGTGCTTTCTTGGGAGAAAATAAAACTGTTCACATGAGCCACGGCCACTACATACAGAACAGGGCACCAGGTGTGGCGCAGTGCACCAGTGACCAGCGTTCGGAAGTAGAGTCGCAGGAGGTTCAGGTTATCCTCAGGAGGGGAAGTGTAACGCTCAAGAGGCACAGGAAACTGCAACAAACCCATCCAGAGGCAACATCACAATTTTTGTCAGGGTCTAAGTGGTAAGAGGAAGTTCATGACTTCTAGAGTGCCCTTCCATGTGCATGCCCTCCTGTAACACAAAGTTACCCCAGCAGCATGACCCCCATTTGCAGTAGAGCTGCTATGGCCCACCCTGACTGATGTGATGTGCCTTGACGAAGTGTTGTCAAGACCCCTTCAGCTTTATGGATAGATGTTTTACTGGTCCTATCACTGCAGCTGATTTTTGGCACAAATAAGATGAGCACTTATAAAGTAAGAAGACAGAGTATTTTTGACAGCACTGCTAAATTCTATCTCTTGTGCTCTGCTCATTCAAAAGAAACGCAGTCCTACACTTGACAGACCAAATTTTCTTGCTGTTACCCAGCAGAGCACAGCTCCAGTATAACTATACGTGAAAGATGGTTGAGAGGGAAAATGACTATTTGTCTATGCACGGGCAAGGAAAATGTTCTCACCAAGGTGTGAAAACACTTATATAAGGGAAAGGTAATTGCTAGCAGAACACAGGGTGCAACCAGCCTTTCATACATACAACCTAAAAATTAGATGGTTTTCAATGGTTAAACCAAGCAAGGTTTGGGAGAGTTTCCAGTGAAGACTGAGCAATTTCACAGCTCCTGCCCTCCACACATACACACAAATCAAGGCTGGAGAACCACAGGCAAGAGCCCAGTAATGCAGAAATACATAGTGACAGGCAACTATCATAAGCTGGGATTACCTGCTGTAATGGCACTCCCAGCGCCCGCAGGATATTTGTGTGCTCCCCAAAAACAGAGAGACGCAGATGAACACTGAAACGCTTCTGCAGAGGCAGAAGAACAAAGACTCCAAAGAGTGGATCTCCAAAGGAGACACCCTCAAATTGCTCCAGGAGACTTATATAGAGATCATGGAAGGACGCCAAACCAGGGAGAGGAGCATCCAAGTTCAGGGAGTCCAGGGCCTTGGGCTGGCAATACACAGAGAGAAGGGCAGCTGTGTAGCGGTGGATTGGTGCTTCTAGAAAGAGGTCACTGCCAGTGAGGAAGACACACATAAGCCGTGCAAGTTTGGCAGCAGTTGGGATGCTCTGAAGGATTTTAGAACGCCAGGTTTCCAGCAACAAGACCCATTGCAGGTTCCAGGTCACAGTGTTGATGAGATCAAGTGGGAGAGAGTTCAATATGGCCCCACGTGTCTCTGCATTAGTCACTTTGTTGTAGAGGCTAATTAGCGGAAAGAATGGCCAGTCTGAAGGCAGGATGGGCCCTTTGACCTCAGGAAGCAGCATTGACTGGATGAGATAATTCCGCCCTTGGTAGGACGCCTGAGAACGCATAAGGGTGGGCTGCAAGTGGACAAAGTGGGAGAGGTAGCAGGAACGAATGGAAGGCAGATTCTGGTATGATTCTCTCAGCAGGGCACCCCGAGTAACCTTTGGAAGAAATGCTGCTGCAGAGCCAGGCTGTGCCAGTTTGGCACTGGTACCCAGATGCAGAATATCAGAGAAGTCAGCTGCTTCTGGTCCACCAGCTTTCCCTTCACTGTAAGGTAAAGACAACAGTTTAAGAAACAAAAAAAAAAAAAAAAAAAAATCAACCCTGAAATGCCAAACAAATGACACATCAGACTAATTCATCTCTACAGTCTTCCTGGAACTGGAAGAGTACTATAGGCATAGTATATTTCTACATCATTGTGCTATTCTAATACAGAGCCTGTAAAGCATCAGCTACCTTGGTATTTAGATGGAATTCACAGAACCACATTTGGAGTCAGCAACACTGAGGCTGTGCCATGAAAACCTTCCACACAATGCCAGTCTAGTGTGGAGCTTGAAATCCCTTGTCCAGAGAGGCAGCCTACTTACCAACACAGATATGAGAGTGCTGAGATGATATACTGCATATCAGATAAGGCCTACACAAACCAGTAAAACAATTCTCAAAACAGGAGCTCTGCAGCTGGCAGTAGCAGGGTCAGGGGAGCCATACAGACTGATAGAAACTGTGCATGTGGAGGGTGTTTGTCAAATCCATATGCCACAATCTCAGACCAAAGACTCACCATTTTGTTGAACCAACAAAAAAACCAAAACACCACCACACAAACAAATGCACTAACAAATTTTCCCTCTTTCTGAAAAAACATAGTACCTCCTTGCAGCACTTTGGTTCAACCTCCTACAGGGATACACCATGGCTAATTTCAAACAGATTGAGATGAACTAGATAAACTGCTACCACCTTCTTGCCCAGAGATGAGAGGATTCATATTTGAGATGCTCATGAGTTCTTCCAGTGTAAAGTGGAAGACATAACATTTGTCAAATCAGCAAACTTGATTAATATGGGTTTGAGGAAGATTCATTGAGCTTTTACGCTTTTTGTCAAATTCTCATTTATTTTCTAGCCTCCCTACTCTCGGGATGGAAGATGCTAGGCCTTAGGTATGATCAGTTCTATCAGAATAACACAAGCCTTGTCACAGAGGAAATCAAAAGAAACTGGTCACATTTCGCAACAGCGGTACATCAGAGAAAAATATGCAACCACTGTGCTTGCCTGATTAGAAGGCTCCATGCCAGAAGAATATGCCAGTGAGTAAGTAAAACATAACTACAGGCCCAGTTAAAGGCCAATTATGACAAAATTGCAGAGCCAACATGTTTTTTCTATTTTCCCTATGTTTTCCCACGTACCAGACTAGAAAAAGGAAAAAGTGCAAAGCTTACGGAAGAAACTCTGGATTAAAGGCAAGATCCAATAGGACCTCGTGAGCCAGATGCTCACTCCCTGGCAACAGACGGCTTAGCAATGCCATGGCAACACAGTGATGCAGTGAGGCATGCTGGGTGTAATCCGGAGAAGTGCCTGCCTGAACAGGAAACAAAACCACAGATAAAAGCAGATGTCAACAAAACAATCAACAAGGACAAGAGGGTCAAACATCACACAGATCTTGCTGCAAAGTGAAAGACTTAGGCAGACTGCAAGCCCTGTCAGCATTCACAGCGAGAGATATTTGTGCTTCCTCTGACTGCCTTAGATAGTCAGATTTTTTTTTAGCAACATAGTTGAAAACTTTGTTCTTACTTTATCCCTAAGAAAGCAAAAATATAATTTTTCCATCCAAAGTATTTTGGAACTAAATCCCCACATCAGTAACTGTAAAGACGTTGTTTGCTAATGGGTCATAAAAGTCAGCAGAAGAGCTGCCAGACCTAAGTCAGATACAAGAAAGAACAAGGACATGAAGACCAGCTGCCAGGGAAGTCAGTTCCTTGGGGCAAAGAAATGAAAGGACCAGTAACGGTACCATTCTCCGAGCCAACGCCAACACAAAGTACTGCAGGTGATACTCATGGCGCAGGATCCACGCAGATGAGGGAGTCACAGAAGGAGGTCCACTCTGCCAGCTTTGATGCAGATAATCCTTCAAGCCTCTGAAGCCCAGCACAGAGCTGTACTATAAAGGAATCACAAGTGGAGACAAGTAATACTAAGATTTGCTTTGGAGGAAAATAAAACACAGCCCTATCCAAGGCCCACCCCCTACCTCCTCTCACACGACAGTTCCTGCTGGCTACTCCAAAAGTCATATTTAAGAATAGCCTAATAAATATCTGCTTTTCTTCTTCCGGGCTCACCTGCATCCATCATGACCATCCCCATCACAGATAACCAACAGTCACTGTCTTACAGTATTCTGTAAGGCAAAAATCTGACCAGTGGCTTAAAATGTTTTTCCTTCATCTGGCCAGATAGTTCCATTAGTAGCCGATCAGTTAATCCAACACAACGTCCCACAGGAAGGCTTTAAGAAACCTTATGCTACATATTCCATCTTTCTAGGACATTTGCTCTTTAGAGTCTGAAATCTTTAACTCACTCATTCTAAAAATTCAGAACAAACCAAAGTAGGAAGGACCCTCATTAGTAGCACTCATTCTCTTCTTTAATATCACCCCATTTTTCTTTGTTACATATGCTTCAACCATGCTTTTCCTCCACTGACACTCAAAGTTTGTATTTTGCTTAGCCAAACAACAGCTATTCAACTCTTCTCAACATTCTTTATAAATACATCCTTTAAGCATCACCTGCTCTGTAATTCCAGCTTCTTAGTGTCAACTGAATTTTGGAATTCAAAGATAAGATATTTTTCTGATCCTCATCCCATTTGTTCTGAAAGTCGGGCTGTTTCTCTCTATAATGCTTTAATATTTTTAAAATTAAAGTGCACAACAATTTGCTTTTAACAGTCCTTCTAACATCTATTTTATGCCAGGGAAGATACAAATATTAAGCTCTCTAACAAGTATATCATCATTCACCTAGAATTTACAGTAAAGGTTTATTCTCACCTTGCTGGTCAGGCCCTTATGAATGTGAGTGATGTTATTGATGAGAAATAAGAGAGCAGTGAGGAAGGGGAAAGGTGACTTAGAGCCAACCAGGCTCAAAGGAGGTTTGCCTCCAGTGCAACTCAGAGATGCAATGCTGCTGACAGATTCCGGTGCAGGGGAACAGGACAGAGGGTTGCACAAAGCAGAACATGGCCTATGTGAAGAAATAAAGAGAGAGGGGTTAGGTCAAAAGCATTCATAGTGCTGAGGAATTATCTTGTTGAAATGTTGCTATCTGTCTGAACTGTACCACACATTGCAGTAAAATGGAAGCCCTGAATACAGTGAAAGTCAAAAGCCAGTGTCTCAGATGGTACACCAAGCACTACTGCTATACAAGCTCATGCCAGTGAGCTGTCAGGAACTCCTCAGCTAAATTGGTCATGATGAGCAGAAATACTGATGCAGTGACGCATTTCTGATGTCAAATACTTGAAAGTGTTGGACCTTTGATTTAAAAAAATACGCCGTTCCTCGCATACATACGCACACCAGGCTAATAAGGCTGCCCACCCACTCAAGACATTTCCATAATAAACTTGTAGGCAAAACCAAAAAGACAGATTATATCTAAAATTGACATTGCAAAATTGCTGCCCTTTATGTACTAATGAAATGCATCTTTTTAAACTGTATTGCGAAATAACGTAGCTTTAACGTACATGGACATGACTGTACAGACCACTCTTGCTGTGTGTATGTGTTCTCTGCAAGTGAAACTACAAATTCCCACACCAGCAGTGCTTGCAGGGCCTGGAGTAGATACATCATGTCTGTATAGGTAAGACCACCACAAAGAGGAGTGATCACAAGCAAGCTGCTTAATGGTAATGAGGTAATAGGGCAAACCCTGTCAAAGATCTGCATCATTACTCTATGGCAGAAAACTAACTGCTTAAATGCATTGCTCTTTCTACCACTAGTATTACATGTAGGAGATGCATAAACACATGCGGGGCTCACAATGTACACTGAACTCCTGGGCCTAAACTGCCCAGAAAGTTCAGACAAAATTGTAGAAATATTAGGGCAGAGATCAGCTGACTCTGGTTTTTACCAGCTAGTGTTAAGAACAGCTAGAATTCTTGTGGATGAGCTTTTATAGCCTGACCAAATCCACTGTCTTCAGACCACCAGGACAGGCAGAAAAGGAGTGCTCTTGTGTTGGAGCTTTGGTGCCAAGAGCTTCAGAAAGAGCTCAGCTTCAGTCACGAAAGAACACGGACCAAACTGTTTGGTGGCCATTAAAACACCACTTGAAAACAAAAGTTTCAAGTGCCCTTTATATCAGATATTCTCAGAGGCGGATGGATGCCTCTCTGACTGTAAGTCAAGCCTTTTAGATTCCCCACTCCAGAAGATTATCACAGCCTAGTAAGAAGGCTCCCTCTACAGCAGAAAGACAGAATATCTGTAGTGCTTAATTGTTCCCAGAGCCACAGCTTATGTTACCCAAATGGAAGAACAGTTTGGTATCTGTTCTTACATTTCCCTGCAGAGGTTTTCAAAGCCCTAGTGAAGCTTGAAGATTTGAATCTACTTAAATTCTTCCATAAAAGCAGCACCACACAGAGCACATTAACAGTACATGAACACACACACACGCACCTCATCATGTAAGAGCAACTCAACTAATACTACTTGTGCTATTTTTTTAGACAAGCGAAATCAAAGAAGAATTAAAAGTAAAAGTGACTAAAATAATCTGAAATTGATATGAAAACCCCAGCTACATGGCAAAGCAGAGATGCAGCAGCACCAGTAGAAAAGGAGCTGTAAACCTCTGCAGCCATCATGCCTTTTCTGTGAAGGGTGAGAAGACAAAGCAGGGTGTAGACACAGCCCTACTGCACTTCCAATTCCCATGCCTGGGGCATATTGCACAGGGAAAAGAGGAGAGAGGGGGGAGAGCTGTCACACAGTACAGTATGGAAATGGGGCTCCCTTAGCTTCTGACAACAGCATCTTAGCAGTGGTATGGTTTTACCTGAGCAAGTCCCACATGCTGTCTATGGCTGGCTGGCTGAGAAGGGGCTGCAGCACCTCTGATGTCAAACGTTCCAGTTCCTCTAAGCAGTCAACTGGATTGACTGATGGCTGTAGAAGACACAGAGAAAGACAGGAAAAGAGAGTAAATGACCCCAGCATCCAGTGATAGCCAAAAGACAGACTGATTTATTTACTTCCTCTGTGTTTATTATCTTTTTGCCAGACCCCATCACCTACACAGTGGTACTGCTCTAGGTTAGAGCTGGGCTCACTGCTCATAGTGTGGAAGTTGAGAGCTGGCACCTCAAGGTGTTCTCACACTCAAGTATTAAAGTGCATCCCAGAAATTCTTAACTGGCTGGAAGCAAGATGTGGGATCCTTGGAATCAAGATTCCCTAAATAAAAACTTAGTTAGATCCTCCTCTCCCTGCGATATACATATTTCTATTTAAATTGAAGATGACACAAAGGTGATCAGAACTACCTTGAGAAATCTTGGCACCATGAGGATCTCCAAAAAACAAAACAAAATCAGCTGTATAAAGTGTGATTGACCTACCCATCAAAGCATGACTGTGGATGAACACTGGAGAGAGGAGGAACTGTGGCTTTTAGAGAATCATCCAAATTCTTCTGACCCTAGTAAGCAATATTCCAGGTTGAAGGAACATGCTGGTAAATTTTAACACTTTTAATCTTCATTAGAATGCTGCTCTGGGATACAGAAATACTCATTTCCATTGCATAAAATTTGATTTTACCCCAGGTGAAATCTGCCTCCAGAAATCAGCAAAACCTTTGTGAAGATGCTAACCTTAGCTTTTAATAGTTTAACAAAAATATTCCAAGAATGTCCCAGCATACACTAATCTAATTACTAAAAATTAATATTTTTTTTGGCACTAATCTATTCAAACAAGCTACAATTTTTTTTAATCAGCTAACTACAGGTAGATGACCAAACTTCTCTTTAAGTGGAATTCAAAAACCCAGCATAATTCAATGACTGAAGAAATTGTTTCGTCAGTCACTCTTCTGGGATATCTGGAAAGGTTAAAAAGGAGCATTAACCTCTTGGCTGTCCTGCTTCTCTAATGCTCAGGACATAATCACAGCCTGTAAAAGGCATACCAACCTTCAGGGCCCTGAAGAAATCTTTGAGAGATGCTGGCAGTTTCCACCCAAGCCATAACTAATAAGCTCAGTTGCTTTTGGCAAGTTTCAGAGGAGTTGCACAAGTGTGAATAACTACAGCCATTAAATTACCCCCACACCTTGAACACAGCTCTCCCAAGCTGGAACTCAGACATGTCAGTTGGGCAGTAAAAAGGAAAATTGCATTTATCTTTAGTACATGAATCTTTAAGGTAGCTAAGGTATAAGACATTATGCTTCAACAGCATCACACTGATATGTCACCTTCAGAACACTCATTTTAAAATATGATCACATACCACAACTGTGTGTTACAGAATTTGACCTTGAATGTCAGTGGTGCAACATATAAATTTATCTTTACTATTTCCTATCCAAAGTTCATACAGCATGACCCTTAAAGCTCAATCTTCCACCCAGATGATTGCAGTGAAGGTGTCCATATGTAAGCTCTGAGACCAAAGCAAATGCAAAAATGCATGACTTGATTTATCCCACTAGGAAAAACAACTGCCAAATAAAATTGCATTGTATTTGCTTCATGCTTTGGTGCTCTGTAGTAAATCAGAACAATAGCAGCACTACCACATACTTTGATTGAGACTCTCATCCCAAAGGATGAAAGGACAAAAAAGGAAGACAGATATTTGGCACTGCTAACGTATAGGCTTAGCAGACTGAAGAGACCCTGAATGTCATGCAGCTTAGATATGAGCTGTGGTAACAAAATCAGTGCTCAGCTTGATGCCTTAATATCCATCTTCTTCAGTACTGCCTCTAAGTTCCAGTTTTCAGAGGTAATACACAAGCTGATGCTGGTGAGATAAGAAGACAGTCTGTATCTTCAGGCCTTACCTGTTGGCTGTAAGCACTGTAATAAACTCCCAAAAAGATCACACAAGTTGTGGTTAGAGGCTGGAGAGTTTGCCAAGTTTCTGTCTGGGATAGCTGCTGAAGGATTTTTTTCAGACTTGTCTCAAGGAAGGGCTGTAAACCTGACACTTGACTCCATGCTACTGGAGGAGGTGGGATTGGTTCACTATCTTCTGAGTTATTGCTGAAACCCAATAGAAAAATGACACAGGATAGCAAATAAGTATCAAGCAACTGTCTCCCTAAATCATCAATTTTAATAGAAAGATGTAGTCTAGAAAATGGTATCAAATAACTAGGGGGAAAGTCCTTGCATACTCCCACAACCCAAACCAAATAATTTAGGTAGAAAGAATAAATGTAGAATGTACTTTAAAAAGCTGAAGTTTCTTCTCCTCCACTACTCTGCTCCTGAGCTATGCTCTAGCTTTACCAGCAATACTACCTCAGTACTCAGCTTTAGTTTAAGAGTTTCTTGCTTTTCACCAGAAAAATTACCTATGGCTGCAGCAGATCCTACTGCTTTGATGTCTATCAAAAACAACGATCTCTTAATCCCGACTCATCTTGGTTTCTGCAGAGAGGTTCTTTCCTCCAAACCTCAACATATTTACTTTCTTTACTCCCAAAAGAAATTCAAAGCGGCTTCCTAGCTTCTTTCAGCAGGGCATTTGGCTAACAGTGGCCTTTATGCCCCCTAGCTTAATGTGGATTTTGACTCCTCCCTCTGGCCATGCTAGCAGGCATAGCTGTCAGACCAGACACTACTTCTGACCTTGTGTCAGAGGGAATACAACCCACCATGCAGGGGCTCACATGTTGGACAGTAAACAACTGAAAATGAGGGGACAAAAAAAAAAGATGACAGCCAGGTCTCCAAACCAAAAAAAGGGAAGATGGGATACCAACTATTGAGATGCACAGAATGGTGATTTAGTGAGCCTACCTGCTCAACTTGGCCTGCAGCTCTGCTGTGTATCCTGCTGTTTGTGTCACATGTGTCAACAGAGTAACCACTGCTGCAGCTCGCTGCACAGACAACTCAACCACAGGGCTCTTCCCACTGAGCAACTCAGGCAGGGACTGCAGTATCCTCACCAGCACAGGGTAGAGATCACTGTAGTATGAATTACACAAGGGATATGGTTGGAAAGGGTCTCTGAAGGTGATTTGTACCTCAATTCCCTGTTCAAGACAGGCCAGCAAGGCCAAGATTGCACAGGGATGCATCCAGTCATATTTTGAGTATCTTCAAGAATGAAGAGTTCAGAACCTTGCTGTGCAACAATGCTCCAGTGTTTGATCACCTTTACAGTAAAGTTAGTAAAGACTACAGTAAAAACACTTCAGAGGAATTTCCTGTATTCCCATTTATGCCCATTGGCTCTTCACTTTCCACTGGGAGAATCTGGCTTTATCTTCTTTACACTCTCTAATAATTTCTTTATAAAGATTGCTAAAATGTGATTATGAGAACCATAAGCACCACCACAAAAACAAAAATAAACTGACATAGAAAAAAGACAACAAAGACTACTGCTATTCCAATTTCATCTGAATGGGACCTACACAATACTCTGCCTCCAAGAACTCTGATCATCTCTTGAAAAAATTACTTTGATTTTATTCTTGCTGGGGAATAGTTCTCAGATTCTCAGTGACACTTATATTCTTCCAACCTTAAGGAATCTTCTGCTGTTTCTTTCCTCAACATTATTTACACTGCTAAAAGAGTATGTACAGTTTTTACTCTTTTTACATCATATAACAGATTGTGCCAAAGAATGCAAAATGCTGCTGTGGATGAGAATCTCCCTTCTGAAACTCAATACCGGCCTCACTTCAACGCCACTTCAGAGCAACCTCTCTTCTTCCAATTCAGTGCAATTACAGGAAGAAGATTTAATGCTTGAAGCAGGTCAGACCTACACCAGGTGCAGACCCTGGCAGTCAAGCATCAGAACTTGTCCTGACCTGGAAGATGATGCACCAGTCTGCCCCACTCAGTGTGGTGACTGCTGCCAACAGACTGTCCCTAGGTCAAGCAGATTCAGTCCTGGGTGTGCTGCAAACCACGTGTTTTGATGTCATACAAGCACAGATTATTCATCCCTTCAAGGAGAAAAAGATGCAGCCCTAAAAAGCTAAAGTGGTCTCCCACTGTAACGCAGAAACAACAAAATAGCAGTGCTTAAACACAGGAGATAATGAACAAGCAGAAGAAGGCAATACCCAGCATGAATACCCTTAGAAAATGAGTTTTACTGCAGGAGGCAAGAGAAAGTGAGGTGAGACACCCTGAAGGCAATAGAGACTGAGCCTGGAGAGCCCTGTCTTTGCCCCTTTGAGCAGGATGCCCGCTGCCCTCCATCCCCACACGCCTCCAGCTCTGAGCCGTACCTGTAGAGGTCGCAGGCCTGCCCGTAGCCGGCAGCCACAGCCCACAGCCGGAAGGCTTCGGTGCTCAGCCTCGTGGCTTCCTCCCTCGGCAGAGGCACATCCAGAGGCTCTTCAGCGATAAAGCGACTCAACCGACTCTTCATTTCAAATTTGTTAAGCTGCAAAACAAACCAAGGAAAAAGAAAAGGATGAAGACCAAAAAAGACAAAGGGATAAGGGGCATCAGCTGCATGCATCATTACCTCATTGCTCTGACACGCACAAAGAGCTGCAGATTTCAATTCAGCTCGTTCTGAGCTCTTCTTGCATTGCTCAAATCTGCTTTTATTTTGTGCAATCTTAAGGAGCAGATCATTAAATGGTCACTGGCTATTAAGAGAGAACTATCTCTGGAAAAGATGCCTAGGGGGTACTTAATCCGTTCCTAACACAAACCAGCTACACCTAAATAATTTCTGATGGAGGTTTGTCTGCCCCACACACGCTCCTGTTTTGGATGCTCTCTGCAGCATTTAACTGATTTTTTTAGAAAAATATATAATTATCCTTCCTTAAATAGTCATAAATACAACTCTCTTAGGCAAGCTTACATGTAAAGATGTACTTTGTGAAAAAAGATATCTACAAAAGTACTGAACTGATGCTGACATTCTTTTGGGGAGGTCACAAGATGGGTTTCAGAGGTTCTACAACCTAAGTCTTTCTATAATTCAGTGTTTATTTTATGCAAAGGGTACCTCCTGCCTATTACTTTCATAAGATTATAGAATTTTGATGCCTTGGAAATGTTCTGAGGTTATTTTGGTATTGAATTAAGCACGACATGACTCATTTGCAGTTCTCCAGAAATAATTTTTATCCTCCCCTACATCTGGGTATTTTTACTTAACCAGAAAAAAGAGCTTCTCTTTCCTTCTCCCACACATACAAAAGCTTCTATGTGCTCTGTCTAAACAAATGAGGTAACAATGTCTTTTTCACAGCACAAGGACATATTATAGGTAATTTAAATTTCAAATGCTTTAGAGACATCTTGTAGGGAAATCAATGCACACCAGCAAGAAAGCAAAGGAGTGGATGAGTCAAAACTATAAATTCTGACACCTCTTCTACAGAAGAGAGGACAAAGTCAAATTTACTTCCAGGAGGAAGATGGAAGAACTTTGCTGTTAGCTAAAATAAATTCCTACATTGATGGTTTTGATTTAGCTTTTTATTCTCTTCCATGCCCACGTTTAAATGCATGCAACAAAACATATGAGAGTGTGACTGTAGCAAAGCCTGAGTGTCAGCAACCTTCTAAGCAATTTTTTCATGCCTTGAAATACCTAGAGTACATAAAGCCTGAAGTAGAAAAATATCTGAATTTTACTCTGTTATGTTCCTAGTATGACTTAAACATCCCACTATCCATCACTGTTCTCTATATTTTACAGCACAGACTGGTGTTCTGTTGACAGTAGCATTTTCCTGGATAGCAATTTGTTAGGTGCTATTAACAACAGTGAACCAAAAAGCCTAAGAAGTGCTTTTTGCACTGTAATGTGTGCTGCTCCTGGTAGATTTCATGCATTTATAGCATGAGCATGACAATCTATATGAGGGAATGCAATTATCTCTGAAGTGAAAAGCTTGTCCAGAAGTTAAGAGGAGTTGAAAACACTGATGAATTATCACAGAGTTATTAAGGCAAATTAATGGCAGAAAAGCTCAACCAGGGTTATAAAACACAAGGATAGTGATTATGTCTCTGGTTTATGCAGTCTTATGCTGCCTATCACTGAAACATGGGAGTGTACAGAGCACCACACATCAATGCATACTCTAAACATCTGTTCCTGGTCAGTATCCCCCTGTTGGGCTCTGTGACTTTCACATGAGAGCATTACACAAACCATAAAAAAGCAGAGTAAAACTTGAGACAGCTCACCTACCATTATGCAGGAGAAGCATCATTATAATGATGCTGTCAACAATTCCTTCAAAACACACTAATGCACCTTCCTCACCCTGATTTTTTCAGCTCCAGCTCACAGTCACCTCCAGTTAGCTTTCTGTCTTTATTTAGGCAGTAAGGCATAGAGAACCAAGGCCTGTGCAATAAGAAAAGCTCTTCCAGGAACCACTTACCAGCCTGGATGTTGCATTTCGGCCTCCAGATGCCAACACCCTGATGAACTTCATAGCACTGGCACAAGCAACTCCATGGAGACTGGTAAGTAAAAACCCTGGTTCAGCCACTTTGGGATCCCACTGAGTAGGGAGAAACTCCCTGACAATGGTCTCAATCAATCGAGGACAGTCAAGCAGCTGCAGAGAAATAGCAGGGAGCACAAATAACTAAAGGTGTGCAGTCATGCAGACATGCAAAACAGACAAGTTTGTCTGATCTCCCTGCCATAACTTCACCTAATCTTTCTTCCCTTTCCAAACCTTTCTCTCTCGCTCCCAAGCTCTTATACAATGGGAGATTTACCTGGCTGCATGCTTCAGAGGAGTGCCTTGCTATATGGGTGAGGATGTGCAGTATATCCAGGACTACTGATGGAACAGGTCGCACAACCTCTAGGATGTACCTTAGCCGGTGCTGGATCCTTGTCTTCAAAAGTCCCTGAAAGGTGTTTAGAAAAAAATAAATCAAACTGTTAGGGTCTAAACAAGTGCTCTCTGTACTTCAGTTGCTGAAAGCCAAAAGAAGATTACATCTTCAGAGACTGTTTTAAAATTGGCAGTCATTAAACAAATAAGTTTCTGTGTATTTGCAAGTATGCTGGCAAATGAGCAAGAGTTATCCGAACAGAGCAGAAACAACTTCAGTTCTGTTCTGAATCAGACCACTGAAGAGGTTTGGATACTTGTGTTTTCCAGAGTATAAAACTTTAAGTGACAGGGAAATAACCTTCCCTATGAAAGACTGTTAAAACCTACTGCTGGTGAAAAAGGTTCTCATCCTTGAATAATTTTGGCTAGACACCACCTCCAGCTAATGCAGCCCTCCAAGAGTACTTGTCAAATCAGAGAAAGTCAACAGAAACAGAGAACAGACATAAATTCCTATTTTGCAGTAAGAAAAGAGATGCATAGGGATGATGTGATTTTTTTTAATGATCAGTGCAGTGCCAGGAAACAGATCATCAATTTATGGAACTGTGTGATGCATTCCTGATTCTGGGAAAAGGTAAATCCATAATACCTGCATTCATATTACTGATACTTTTAAAAATTTGCAGCCAAGCAAGTTGTAGCTCTAGGCCTGACCAAGTTCAGCAGCTAGTTTAAATACTCCTTTTCTAACTGTGTGGAACAATTGGGTTGTAACAGCCAATAAGCAAGCATGAAATGGAATTGCACAGCAATGGGAACAGAGAGGAATTTGATCTCAAATACCTTTGAAGTTCAGGCCACTCAGAACAAGCTGAATTACTCTGAACCATGACATAGAGTACAGAATTACAGACTGATCTCCTATCTACCATTCTTTTGTTACATGTTTAAATGGTGCCACACACCTAGCAGAACACATCTGAAATCATGAAGTCTCTAAACAAAACCAAGTGCCCAAGTACAGTAATTCATGCACCCAATGGTGCTTTTAGACCAAGTGCTGTTCAAACACAAGCTCAAGGACTAAGTGATGTGATCACAGGTTTTAATGATTGCAGCAGGCAAGAGGGATGCATTGGCTCTACCAAGGCTGAGTTTGGGATAACAAAGTTTGCTATTTTTACATCTCCTATGAAAAATACGGGATTAGGTTTAAAATGTGGGAAGAATTAATTCTGAACACTGTAAAAATCTTAATCTGAGAAATGTAAACATGACATCTGGGGAAATGGTAAATAGCCACCTTATGGCAAATAAAAAAAAGAGCATCACTGTACAAATCTACTAGTTCTGAACTATCTAGCTGTAATATTCTTGTCTAATGTCTAAAAAGTGCATATAGACAATTTAATAATTGCTGGAACCTTTTCATTTTGAATTCAAGTAAGTGAGCCTGAAAGTCATGTCTATATGCAGTCTTTCAGGACATCTTATCATGTCATCAGTGTGTTTGTTGTTGAATTCCCTAGAGGAAGTTAAGATATATTAATAACACTGAAATTACACAAGTCAAATCTCAACATTTTTAGAGACCAGTAAATTATCCTCCTGGTAACATATAACAGAAACACAACAACCAACAGCCAGGAAAGAGTTCTGATTCTTGTTCAGAATGTTCTTATCCAGCATGCACAGGAGGATGGATCTTTCAACAGCACATATTTCATTGTGCTGAGCCTATTTTCCCAAAAAGATTCTGGGTCTAACTCTGTGCCTACCTTTACAACATCATATCGGGCCACATCTGGGTCTGGCTTGTTTTCATCCTTTAATTTTTTATTTTGAGATTTCTCTGTTCCATTTAACTCTTCCTCTTCCTCCTCTTCTTCCTCCTCATTGTTAGGGACAAAGGGGAATGCAGCCATCCCTTGGTACCACGAGAAAGTCCAATCGAGATATTTCTATAAGGAATGTTAAAGCATATAGAATAAAAAAGAAAGACAAAAGGACAAAGACAAAAACTTTTCAGGGATGCTTTTGAATATGGAATGCTTTATTGATTCCTATATAATCCCAAGAAAACGTGAAGACGATAAAAGCCATTCTAAACATATACAAGTAGAATTCAATGCTTTTTCAGGGAAATTATTTTGACCTTACACACACATACACTTTGAAAAACCCTGAAAAAGAATTACTGTGATGTGAATTAAATTTACTAGACAACTAACAGAAATTTAGTTTAACTGGAAAAAAAATAGGATTATTAATAAGTAAATAAATAAATAAAACAACTACCAAGGCTCCAGGCATTAAATGGAAATTTGGTATTTATTGGCTTCCTATTTTTGGACCTGTGTTGAATTTAGGTCACAAATAACACAGAAAGATCATGCAAAAATTGATATGATAAAGACTGCTTAGTCTATTTGTTCATGTTTGCTTCACCTTCGCTTGAATATCCCTCAGCTTAAGCAAATAGAAAAACCTCTTTTTTGTTCACAGCTGATGACAGTGTCAGGTATTCTCAAGTTCTATGGTAACAGCCCAACTAGGGTAATAGTTCCAATTCTTCAGAGAGGGGATTGCTCCCATAACAGACTCAGTTCACCCCAAATGTTTAAGAATATGAAAGACAGCCAAATCAAATGCTTGCACTGCTTAGTAACTGCTATAGTTTTCTATTTCCTGCACCCGCAATCAGAAACGAACACCACATTAGACAGAAAAGTAGTGGCAGACTTCAATTGCCAAGTACCAAGGAAGCACAAGCTATTATCAGACTTTAAAAAACCCCCCAATACAATATGAACTAAAGATGGTGAGTGAATGGCATGGTCAGAAGAGGCCTGACTTGAGGGGATGAAGCCCTGAGTCCATCTGGAGTACAGAGTTTGAAATTAAAGTCTTCCTTTGACCAAAAGAAGGAAAAGCCTTAAGATGAGGTAGCTGAGTCATTAAAGGAAACAAAAAGACAGTTGCTTCTTTCCCATAGCCATTGAAGGATGAACAAAACCTTCAGACAGCATATTTTTATGTGTGCTGATCTTATGTGTTTATGGTGTGGATAAATCCTATTTGCCTTACAAATCCTGGAGCAGAAGGTCAGGCTTCCAACCCTGTCCCTTTCTCAGAGACCTTTTGAAATTCAGCAACACGAGACTCTTGGAAGGACTCTTTGGGTCAGAAATATACTGACGCAGCATTCACAGTGCTGCTTCTGGCAGCAAGAGTCAGCAATCCCCACTTACACAAGACATCTCACCATAAGCTTTGATCCGAAAAATCAGAGCACTGCAGAGCACTTATAAACCAGAGAAACACCAGAGGAGAGAAAAAGTACATTAAGAAGCTGATTCTTAGTACTAACTAACACGACTCATGTAGCAGAACTCCATTAGGCTCATAGATAGAAAAGTAGGAAGATGTGGAGAAAGCTACCTACTCGGTCATTTCTCTTCCCTCCCACTAGGGATAGCTCTACAGGCCTGGTAGAAGTTGCAGGGTACTTCTAGTACATCTCTTCTATCACCAGCCCCTTTGCAGTCAAACAGAAAAGTAGCTCTCAAGGAAGATACTTGGAAGATAATCTACAGCAGACTGCTTTTATCCAACCAGGAGCACATCCTAATCTGGCTGCTCTAGGCTTTCTAGTAGCCTTGAAAATCTAAAAGAAGTCAACCTCCTAACAGGTAAAAAAAAAGCATCAGTGAGGAAATAAACACATGAACAGGCAAAAATTAGGTATGCAATGTTACAATAACACATAGGAACAGCAGAAACTGGACAATGAGAGAAAAACAAAACAGCATTATTATGAGACATAAAGGAAAGCACAGAGAATATTTAATCTGTTAAGAAGCAGAAAAACTATGAAATAAGAAAACAACCTAAGAGAACGTATTAAAAAATAAATTCTACATATACATTAGTAGTGGCCTGATCTAGATTGCAAAGATATAAAAAGAAGAAACTCAGCAGCATGCACTGAATTTAATCATAGCACAGAGGTAATTCAAACAGTGAGGAAAAAAGATACCTGAATCTCTCAAACTGGGATAACACACTCCTTGGTCTGTCTCAAAGCACAGCAATGACATTCTATTCACCATTAAGCCAACATGTCCAGTAAACCTTTGTTCAAGCTATTTACCATGTCTTCTAATTCTGATCCCTATAAACAGCTCAGCATGAAATCAAACCCAGGTTCTGAATGATCAGCTTACCTCATCATCAAGTGACACCAGCAGAGCATGGAGAGCACCAACAGATGCTGCCATGACATTTTCCACTGCATCATCCAGCGAGAAGCGCAGCAAGAAGAGAAAGCCAGCATCGAGCAGCAGACGCAGAACGCTGCCCTTCAACGAGGAAGCAAACTCTCCAGCCCTGGCCTGGAAAGTGCCAGACAGAGCCAGGGTTAAGGCTGTGTCATCTCAGCTGGATACATCTCCAGCCTCTCACATCTCAATATTTTACATCTTTGCCTCTTTCCACTTCTACTGTAAAGCTGCTAAACTGTGTGGAGGTTATTCTTCCTATATTTTATCCTCCATTCATTCTACAGAAGAACACAACTGTAGTTCCTTAGTGCAAGAAACCCTTCTTTCTAAAGTCTGCACTCATCTTTTGACTTCATCCTGTTCTGCCCCACCACCCTTCTCAAAACCATCATGTTTCTTCTTCTCTGTTCCAGTGCCATTAGGGGGAATGTTAGCACTTCCCCCAAAAGTTAGGTAGAAATATGCACAGAAATATTCATTTTGCCTTTTCCTCTTGGCACATTGCTCTATGAGTAGGCTTGGCTCTTTCTCACCTCCTACAGAAAATGCACATCATAAAGCTGGCTCAGACAACAGGAGTGAAAGGGTCAATGCCAAGAATAGGTTTGTCACAAAAATAACATTTAAAAATCAACATGCATCCAAATTAACAAGAGAACTGAAATTGCACCACTGCTGCTGAACAGCACCTGAAAACCTGTTGGGAGAACAATACTCTGGAACTATCCAGAGAAATTTGCATCTCAGGAGCCCTGATCCACCAGAAACTTGAGTTATGGGGAGAAATTTCTTGAAGTGACTTACCCTTTGAACAATACGACCTAAGACCTGTAGAGCTAGTGTCCTCTGCTGTGTAACTTGGCTGCGAGACAGATGAAAGAGCTCTTGCAGAGAATAACCAGCTCTCTAAATGGCAGGGGGAAACAAATCAAAGAAACCAAAAAATATCCTCAGCTACAGCTAAAAACAGACCACTTAAAATAAGATTACCTGTAACATACTGCACAACAGATGATAAATTGCAAGCCAATGTTATTTGCTGCTTTGTGGCAATTGTAGAATAGATTTTAATCTTAAATGTCACAGGAGAAAATTGAACTTCTTAAGCAAAGGAAGTATGTGCACTTTTTTCCAACACCACAGAACTTTAATAGCATTAAAGAGAAAAAGCATCAACAGTGTTCTGGAAGTAATGCAGTTCATGCATGCAGACACAACTTGTCTTCAGGGGTTTGTTTCTAAAGAAAAATTACTGCACTTTTTAAAGGGTTTTTTTGTCACTAAAAAGCTTGATACAAAAGGAATCTACCAAATCAAACACAGAAAACAGAAATGTGTGTGCCTTTTCTATATTACACCCACCTACCTCTGCCTCTTCTCCATGGTGGTGCAAGCCTAGATGTGTTGGCAAATCAGCATCTGCAGGAATCAATTCTCCCTTTAAACTGAACCGAGCTTGCATTCCCTATAGCAAAAGGGAGGAGGGAGAAAACAATTTTTTCTATTGCTGTCCACTCAATTCATCTCTTAAAATATACTTTTTACATCACCTGCTGGAAGATGACAATTCAAAAACTCCTCAGGTCTCAGATTCTTTTTAAAAAATATACTCCTCTCTTTCCTTTTTTCTCAGTTTTACACCTGTTTCATCCCAGATTACAATGGCTAGACTCTCACTTCCTAGCTCTCCTGAGTGCTACAGACTGAACTCATCCTGTATCATCCCATCCTGTGGAAGAAAATCGGGAATCTCAACCTGATGAAATCCCACAGACTGAGCAGCCAGAGGACTCATTTTTGAAGCCTTCAAAACTGTTACTGCTGAGAAGCATGATCCAGACACAAACATGCAAAGTATCAGTTTCTGCTTTCAAACCTTTTTGGTTTTCTTCTGCCGAGGTGAGGGCAAATCTTTCATCCATTCCAGCTTCTCAAACTCTACATTGTCCATGTGAATCCACTCCTTCCTGGGCTTCACAGGCAGGTCATCATCTTTGTGTGGGAAGAAAGAAATGTCAGTCTTACCTTCCAAGGCAGTGATGAAGGTAATACTATTCCTTCTTTGCCAAGATATTCAGCTTAAAGACTGTATCAAATATAAGATTATGTAAAATAAAAAGAAAACCATTTTCAAACTGACTGTTGTCTGATGCATAAACATCAAAGGTTTAAAGCTATTTTCATCTTTCATGAGAGCAAGAAGAGGAGGTAAACAGCACTGTAATGAAATTCAGACAATGCTAATTTAGGAGAAGTTAAACAGAAGTCAGGACATGAGTAAGGCAAAATTATCAGAACCAGTGCAGAAAAAATACTATCAGCCCTACTTTTGAGAAAACAAACTAATATCATCCAAGGAAGAGTGTGTTGGGGGGACATGAAATTGAAAAGTATTAAAGCAAGAGTCCCAGCTAATTATTGGAACCCAGTAAAATTTTAGCCTAGATACACTGAAGGCAGCCCAATATTTGTGCTTTGGTTGCATTTGTGATGCTGCTCTTCAGTATCCCTCCATAAAGGCTTGAAGAGATCAGCTTGGGAAGAAAATATCAAAATGGCTGAAAATTTGCACAGCTTTCCAGAGACAGCTCAGTGGGGAAACTGGACAGTTGAACAAGAACTTAAAATGTGCAAATACTAAAGGAAGAAATTACTAATTTAACTTTATAAAGAGCTTTGACTACAAGAATTTGAGAAATAAGAACATTTGTGCCTGACATCACAACAGTTCCCCGAGGAGAGACACATATCAGCATGTGGAAGAATATCATAAGTGAAGAGACCAGAGAGATATAACCAGGAAAGGTAAGGCTTTGCTCCTAGGATACCACCCCAAACCAGAATAAGAAGAGATGAGGTAAGAAGTCTTTGCTATCTCAAAAGGAAGCACATGTAAGGACAGTAAAAGGAAGTTTAAGGGCATGGAAAGCATCAGCATCACTTCTGCTGGAGCAGCCCAGAACTCATCTGCATTGCAGCTATTAATCCTAGCACTCTGGTCTTCTATTGCAAGGAACAATGAGTCCCACAGAGATGCTCTTCTTTCATCAGATCTTTTCCTGCTGATAACTGGCCTGAAACCTAACCTTTTACTTTCTTCCAATTAGCAGATAAACTTTCAAGAAGGGCACTCATCCTCTCCAGAATGAAGCTGCATGCTTAATGATCAATGTGGTATTGAATCAGGCAAGGAACCAAGCACAGAGTTATCTTGCTCAGCCAGAAAGCTGTTCTGCAGAATTTCAGCCAAAGGCTCAGCATGCATTTTAATTGAAGTGAAGGAAAAAGCATCTGAAATGTACGAAAGCGGAATGTTTGTGGGTGGTAGATGCAACATGAGAGGAAATAAAATCAGCAGAAAAACAAAATATATCGACATTTGTAATTTAACAAAATGTTTTCTCTATTAGTCACTAAATTGACAGGGTTGAGCTAATCATTTTATGAATAAGATTATGCGTGTTACTAGAAGCCCTTAGTACAATGATCTTGTCAACAAGAAAAGATGGATATATATTTCAAGGCATCAACAGACTGTTACTGAGAAATCCCTTTACAGAAGCACAAGCTGGCAGTGTGAACACAACATTTGCACTGAACTTTTTCAGACTTGGGTTACATTAAAGGCTACCACTCAAACCCTTTACTTTTTGCTTTGCTTCCTGTTTTCTCTCAGTGACAGAATTAATTTTTCCATTTTATAAGGTTACAAGTTGCTGGATAAAGGTTTCACTATCTTGTTTCTAATAAACAGTAACCTTTTATATCATTAGAGAGGCAGGTTTGACTTTTGAACAATCTTACTGATTTGTGTCATCACCAGAAATTCAGTGTGACCATTTCTGCTGGGCTATTCATGATGGATTTACTTCTGAATATAAACAGACGCTAAAATTCCAACAATAAGTGCTAATGTCAAATTAATTTTTACACTTCCTATTGGCCAAGATGGACTGCAGGCATAAACTAAGGCACTGGAAAGGCTTCCCTTGTTTTTTTAACTGTGTTTCAGCTCACCCTTTGTTGTTCCAAATATTCCGGAAAAATTAATTTATTTTTTTTTTTTGTGCTCTCCTCTATAGGAGGCAAAAGATGTCAACACACAATGTTTTAAACACTGAGCTATTCCCAAGAGCATTACTATTATTACCATCATAGGCTGAACAACATGCTTCTATTGCTCCCAGGAGATGAAAAGATGTCACTTGACCTTGTGTACTCAGTTATTCTGGGACTAAAAAGAACTATAAATAGTCCCTTTGATTAAGATGGATTTGTGGGAAAGTAAAACTTGGGGAGAAACTGCAAAAGGACTGTTCAGTCAAATGCCCTACTCAAAAAGACACTGAGCTTTACTTCTCCTGCACACATACACACACATATACACTGACAGACTCTTCCCTCTCAGCAAGAAAATGGTAAATGCTTGTTATCTCTTGCAAACATCAAGCTGAAGTCCCAAAGTGATTCAGAGACTTCTTTAATCACTCTGCAGGTTACACTGGAACACAAAGGATGCATTAGAAGAGAGGATCAAGAGATGGAGAAAGGCAAAAAGTGACATGAAATTATGGGACAAGTATGTTAGGAACAAAAGTGTGAGGAAAATGACAACGGGAGCTTAAAAATCACAACAAAGAAAATGAAATTGCTACAGAAAAAAAGCAGCAAGGAAAGCAACAATAAGAGCAGAAGCCTAAATGGAAAACTCTTCCTTTCTCTGCTATGAGAATATATGTGGTTGCTCTAGCTACTGGAGATAAAGCAGCTTTCTCCTCATACAGGCACGTATTGAGCATTAAAGGGTTCTGTTGTAAGAGGCAATAGCCCTGTAGCACTCCACAAAAAGCAGGACATTCTACACCTTAATACTTCTCCCTCCATCCAAAGCACAAAGAAAAGGACCCTTTCCTGTGAAAATCACTGGGTGCCTTCTGAGATGCAAGACACAGAGTGGGGCCATCAGGAGCAGTGTCACACTAAGACAACATGCTCTATATGAGCAATTTCCCTGAAATGAGAGTGATGGGTCACCTCTCTGCTATCCTGTGAACAAATCATTAACCCCTACCTACCCAACATTCTCTCGTCCCCAGTACCAGTTAAAAGAAATTATTCAGGCACCAGCTGAATCTCACTACTACACTCTTCTGTTTCCTTGTTCACATGACTGAACAGAAGAGCAATGATGCCTAGTTTAACACACATTTTCCCTTCAGAGGTCTTAGAACAAATTTCAAAATGAACAGGTCACTTCCATTACATACTGTACCACCTCTGTAATCTGTGGAGCCCATCTAGAGATGTCTTTTTTTAAACCTAAACCACATATTTTTTTAATATAAGGATAAAATTCAGATTTGGATCACTAGGAAGTAGATTGATGTAAATACCATACAAATCTTATATTTTTCAGAAAATTAACAATATGCACTTTGTTTCTTACCCATGATTTCTACCTTCATACTTTCTTCCTTCCTTTCATGTTCTTCCAGACTTGACTCCTGCATGGAAAGAGATGATCTTACACCATGCTGAGCCACAGGCAGAGATTCCACAAATTCCTCCAGTCTGTTCAGTTCCATTTTTAATTCCTTTTCCGGGCCTTCATTGTTACCACGTTGTGATTTCAAGAAAGCAACTAAACTGGGATCTGCAAGTATTGACAAAGAGACAGACAGAGATGTGAAAGAAAGTCTCAAAATACTTCATAGGCCTATAGCTCCTGCTATTTATGTTTCAGTCTTTTCTACATGTCCTCTTTCTCTTACCAGCTGGCACTTGTCTTCAAACTGAGGCACTCCACTGCTTTATGACCTCTTAGACACATAAGGTGGGAGTGACTGACTGGTGAAGAGACATCAGAGAAAGAACTGACAAATGTCTTTCAGGGTAAAGCAACCACAAAAAAATTATTTTCCCAGCTTACAAATAAAGATAATTGTTTCTTTTCCCCTCACTGCCACTCAGATGTGACATATAAACATGACTATCAACTGTGGAGAGAATTCTGGTCTGTGGTCCCTGCCTGTGGACTACTCAGTGACATCAATCTGAACACTCGAAGAATACACACAACAGACCCCACAAAAGTAATTACCTGATCTTTATTGAATTGCAGTAGAACTGCAAGTCACAGCTCAGATATTATGCTGCAAGGTGATCTTTGTTTGTCCTGAACTAACTCCCCACTCCAATTATGGTCTGACAACACCCAGAAAAAAGACACAGCCATTCTCTTCATGCTTTGAAGAGAAACATTTGGGAGGTAGATGTGTTTTGAAGGCTAGATTATGTTCATATGGCTCTACGACCATCATTTTACTTTCAGATCTGCTACAGATATCCCACATCATTTTGGATGGAGTGCACTTTCTCTGAACAGTCTTTAGAAGATGGTGCTGGGATGCTTATGCCAGAGGTGAACAGTGAGAGTATTGTGCATTGTGCCTCAACGAGGTACAGAAATACTCCAGTAAGCAGTGTCAGAGATATATAAAGTAGAACATAACACCTATAGTGCTTATTTATTCTTTGGAGGACAAAGGACAAGCAGTTGAGAAATGCTCTGTACCTGAGATAAGTCATCTGAAAAATGACTCCTATGTCTCTGAAACACCTATCCCACACTTACGATTGCTGCACATTCTCCTCAGTGATGCAGTTTAGACCGTCCTTGGTGAAGGACAGGCATTCAGCCCAGTCTCATTAAACTATTCCTATTTTTTCTGAATGCAGGCAAGAACTCTCACTTTCTTACACTTCACTGTACACAGAAGACTGTATTCATAATTTCATCATTTCACACAGTGACAAAAAAGCCACTGATGTCAATCTGTGCACAGTATGTCAGAAACTAAGTCTACTTCTGTCCAGGGTCTCCATTAATAAAATCAGCACAGTACCAACAATCAGACACTGCCCAGCACAGAACTACATACTCATTCTCATACTTCACACCACAGAGTATCATCTGCTTCATAACTAAGAAGTTAATTCAGGGACTGGACAGCACTTAACATGCACAAATTATTCACACTCCCGAAAATTGAGAAAAAGTCTCCTTAATTCACAGCTCTGTACCTGTCCAGTTTTTAAATCCATCTGTAAGTCAGCAATTTAGTTCAGGAGTGTTTCATCACACAGATATTCTGGGAATTCCAGAATTACTCCCAGTTTCTTTAAGGCCTCAAAAGACTAAAGTATCTACTATTGTAATCTACAAAGCATATAAAAAATACATTGCTTCAGAAAATCTTGTTCAAAAATACTTACAATACATGCCATCCTTTTTAAACTCTTTAAGTATTCACTTCACTAATATCCCAAAGGGACAAGGAGCAAAAATCACAAATCACTCACAAGAAGCAAGTATGTAATCAGGGTATTTTTCACACACGTGCCATTGTTACAAGCAGTGAAACCAAAGGAAATACTCAGGTATCTGAATGAAGGATGTACCTAAACAATCTGGCTGCAATTATTTTGTGTAGTTCCTTTGCCACCTTTCCAGTTATACCCATGTTGCCTGCAATGAAGTCAAGATAATTAATATGATCTTGAAGTTGAACCCACAAGAGACTTCGCAGCTAAAATGCTGCTCACATCTAAATTTGATGCTAGAAGACCTGAAATCATGAGAATTTTTTTAATTCTTGTCTGCCACCTACATCTGTACATCTGCTCTTCCTGAGCACATAAATTCATCAAACTAATGCCAACAAGTGTTGCAGTGACGCAGATCACATGAAGTTTTATCAAACACACCACATTCAGTGTTCTCCTCTACCTTGTCGTCAGCTGCCAGTGATAGGCACTCTCAGAATACCACTGTGGACACGGCTCCAAACCAGAGATCAGACCCCTGCTAGAATATGCCTGTATCCAACAGTCTGATAATTATAACACTTTTTCTAAAAGTCAAGGCTAATTTCAAGTTTTTCTGCTCTACAAGTATAGGTTTGAACTGAAATCTCCCACATGCCCATATGTTCTCCCTATATGGGTACTGACAGTTCTGGCCCAAGTTTGAGGTATTTTGGAGGGGAATACCAAGGGTTCTTTCTCACCTCAGCATTGCTATGACACTGCCTCTTATCAGCTTCAAAAAAATTACATTTTAGGACCTTAAACATTTATGTGCAACCATGTATTCAGAGTGCAAGCCAATAAAGTGCAAGGATTGTCTTAACCCACAGCAGAGGGGTGACAAGAAAGACTTACGCCAAACCAACCCTCACTGAAAAATAAACAGCTCTAATTTCTTTACACTTAGTTCTTACTCATAAGCTAGTGACAAGACATAGAAGCAAGATTATCCAAATATGGAATGAGCAGGAATTCCAAATTCCCATAGTTGACCCATAAATTCGCTAAGACTTCAGGACACCTACACATTCAATGAATTTCCTCAACTCTAGAGCTGACCCTGGGAAGCACATACCCAGCTGAGCCAGAAGCCTCGCCTGCTCCTGCAAGATCTCCTCCTCAGACATGGACTGCAGCTTCTCCAAGTTCTCTTTGTGAATAGCTTGAGCTTCCTGCTCACTCTTTTGGCTTCCAAGACCCTCTCCCGTTATGAGACAAGGATGCTGAGAGGTCCAAAAGTCATCATCTTTATCTGTAAGAAGCAGCAGAGAAAACAGTTAGTTATCTGTGTCTATAGCATCATGAATAAATCTCAACTCTGTCATTAACAGGCTTGCATAATTTCTCCTTTTGGTTTTTTTTTCTTTACCTTGGTAGTAAAGTTAGCATAGGAGTAAAGTTTAGTTTTCAAACAAAACTAAAACATTTGTGCTTTTATCCCATGTCACAACAAACATGTTGACATAATTTCCAGCTTGTTTCTTTGGGAGCTTGAGGAAGATGCCAGGAGAAAGGCATTATGTATCTTTAATGCAAAGCAACAGCACAAAAAGGTAAACTGCAGCATAATTCACAACTGATGCAACAGAGCATTCTTCCAACCTAGTGAATACGAGATTCTTTCCCTGCCCAGGAATGCCTGAAACCACATTCGTATGTCAGCTGAACCATGACCTAGTAAATATCTGCTAAGCAACACAGAAACTTATTTGAGGTAAACCAGCTTCCAGAGTGATACAGGATCAATTCTCAACACAGGCATGTTTGCTTCTAACAATGTCCTGTACTCACCTTCAAGGGTTAAATGTATTAGAAGTTACAGCAAGGGACATTCTTCCTCCTCTAAACAAAATTGAGTCACATTTATCACCCGATCTAAATCCATTTTAAATGTCCATTTCATTTAACTATAGCACCAGGTAACATGTTCCTCTAGTCAGTGTGAGACCCTCCAGCTCTCCTGTAACCCACTACACAAGGACCTGACTTTGCAACTTTACTGCTTATGTTTTATTCATATGCTCCATATATTGACTTGGACCATCCCTATGCCCCTAAACTAGCCAGCCCTGAAAGCATCAAACCCCTGTTCAAACAGCAGCAATGACTCTCAACATAACACCAGAACATTTGATGTCATTGCCACAGTTGTTTTGCATATTGAGCTGAAAGAGATAAGACAAGGTGACCTGGCAAAAGTTTCAGTCAGCTTCCCTGTTGGAAAGCCATCCCTACACTTCCCACCACCAGCAATTAAACTAAGGGTTGCAACAGACAAATACACTGCTACTACAAGAAATTAAGCTCCCCCTTCCTGTTGGAATTTGTGGTATTTATGATTCTGAGATTGTAAAAAGTTTCTTTTTTCTGCCCCGTTGCTAAAGAAGAAGTTATAATTTGTTTGTGCTGGTTTTTAAGATTGTTTATTTTTGCTTATTTATAACACGTTTTGCTGCCCTGCTGCAGGTTTGTCTTGCAGGGCAGCGTGTGGGGCTCTGCCCCTTAGTGGGAAGTTATAAACATTATATATTAGAAATTATGTGTGCTATATTTATAATAATGTGCTAATATTTATCATTTATGTTGAACAGTGTGTCTTTAGTCTAAACTAATAGAAAAATGCTAACACTACAGTGAAACATGGAGGGCATGAAGAAGGAGAAAAAGGATAAAACACACCTAATTTCCTTAATCTTGTCCCTTTTGAACCCCTAATCTAGAAACTTAAAATTTTACTTTTGCACTCGTGCTACACTTAATTATTACTCATATTAAACACTTAGAGCTTGTAATTCATCCTATAAGATTGAAAACTCTTTTCCATGGACAGAGATCACAGACAGTGTCTCTCGGGGCTCTGTACAGGGGGGTTCCTGACCCCCCGCTAGGGTCCCAGGTCCTCCAGGGCAGCCAGAGGGAAGCCCTGGATTCCCACACCTCTCTCTCTTGCTTCTGGTGATCCTGACACAACAGTCTGGCTGAAGAGGCCAAGACATTTTGTAATCTCTCCGTCATGTTATTACATTTTAGAAGGGTTCATGTTCAAGGGGATGACAGCTATAAGGCTGCTCTATTTCTCTTTCAGCTTTCTCAGACAGAATTATACATGTCCAATTATAATAGGACATACAGTAATCACAGTATAGTGACTTAGACTATGGATTTCTGCACATACAGCACAGCACACCTGCAGTTCTCTTACCAATTCTTTAACAGGGTGCAGGGCTGATACAAACCTTAGCCAAATGGTGATAATCTTCAAATGATATCTGCCCTCTATTTCAGTGTAAAAAAGAGCATGTCAGGGAAAAACCCAGACTTGGAGTGGTCCTAAGCAAACTGGACTGCCTCAGACAACACAAATTAAAAAAAGCCTGGAGATGCTGGTCTCAGTTGAACTGACTTCATCTTTCCTTGTCACGCTGCTGTCAGACAAGTGCTGGAGGTGGCACTGACTCATCAGCACTGCTTCACAGCATTCCTTATGGAGCAAAGCCACAGTCTCATGGCAGCAGATCTGGTGATAGAAAACTGAGCTTTCAAACATTTCAGTAGGAGTGAGAACCCACATCACAGTGGTCTCAAATTCTTTCAACACAGAACCACCCTCTTCCTAAAATTGTGGCAATCAGTGAAGAAGCAAGAAAAACTCTACATATAACAAAGAGAAAGGAAAAGGAGGACAAGAATCTTGAAAAATAAATCTACTTCCCTGTGTGAAGCAAAAAGGAAACCAGTGAGAAAGCTAACCCAATTTTTAGAATGTATCTCAGAATTTTCTCCTTAGAATTTTTAGTTTGCATCTGAGACCATTTCAAATCCTTGCCACAATACAGACATTCCAATTGACCTTGAAATTCCTAAACTGAGAACAACAATGCTACAACAATGCTACAACAATGCTACAATGCTACCAACAATAAAAATATGGTGCGCTGACATTATGGTTACTAAGGCTATGCAAATACGGTCAGCTGGATAAGAAGAACCCTCTCCACTTACCATCCCTGCCGCTGGGGAGAGGCACCTCTCCCAGGGATCCAACAGGATCCAAGGCATCCGGAGCGGGTGATCTTACTTCCACGCACTCGGCAGCAGAGGGAGTCGTCGCTGCCTTTTCAGCAGCTCTTTTCGCTGCCATCTTCTGAGCAAAGATGCTTTTTCTTCCAGATCCCAGCTGCACCTGCAAACGTGGAAGCCACATATTCATTTTTCTCTCCAGAGTCTCCCTGCACACCTGCCACTAACAAATTTATAGATCTGATCCTCAGATCAGACTTTGGGACATGATACAGGGAGGCTGCTGGCAGTCACTTGCCCTTTTCTGTACATGTGTGACTCTTTTTTAACACATAGTTTACTGCTATGACAGAGAGACAAAGACATGGATGATTTGGCACCTAGAGAAGGAAGATGATTAATTATAAGTGAATTCAAGCAAGGAAAATACACCTAAAATGTCACCGAACACAATAGTTACAGCTTTCCTGCTGTTTGGAAGCTCTGCATAGCTGAATACCTTGGATTTCTGAGTATAAATGGAGTTGTACTTCACTGTGCTCACTACATGCTTGGAACAGGCTTCTTAAAAGGTGATCAGTGAGCAGCAGGGTGAAGAGATTTACACAGTAAGAAGTGGGCAAGTAGTGCTAAAATAATCCTGGCTAAATTACCGTGTTGCTTGCCTAGGTAATGGAAGGGCACGGCTCTCAACAGCCCTGCACAGGGGATGCACAGGAAATCCCAAGGAGACTAAGCAAAAAATGTCCCCAGTCCAGAGAAGAAGCTTAAAAGGCAGTTTGAACATTTGCTTTGAGTGTTTCTGCAACAGGCAAACAAAACTGGTAGTTTAAGAAGTATTATTCTTGTCTTTCAAAAAAGCTGTCCTTCAAAATAAGCTACCTCCTCAAAGCAACCACAGCTGTCAATCACATATCAACTCCCAGCATCTGACTCCCACTCAGCTAGCAGTCCTTGCTACAACAGCAACAACTGATAACAGCAACCACGGCTTACAGTTTTACAGCCTCAGAAAATAATTATGTCAAAATCAAAAAAGCTGCAAAAGATAACTTGACCAACCATACTCAAATGCTATGCCAGGAGATATCAGGTGCAACTTCAGTAAGAACCTGGTGGACAAATTAAAAGAGATTGCTCCTCAGAGAAAAACAAGCAGAACAGGATCAATTCTATTACAGCACTGCAGATTTGATCCTCTTTAGTGAAGTTAGCCAAAGAAGGGTAAACCAAGAAGATTCCAATGTTACTTAACTGCAGGGTATGGAGTAGCTACTTGATGGCAGCTTGGTAGAAGAACCTCTCCTTCATTTAGGTGGCAATGCCACAGATATGTCGAGCAAGCTCATAATCTCCAGCATACTAAGGTGGTTATTTTGAGCCCTACCAAGCCCCACTAAGCATTAGGATTTAATGGGAGAAAGTTTAATTGTTAATGAAGGTAGCATAAAACATCTGCTTCTAACCTTACCTCACTTTTTATCTCAGAGCGGTGAAATGCCCTTGGGAATGGGTCTCCTGTGGGGACTGGCATGGTCACTGCTACTGCACTGGTGTCTCGTTCCTGAAGAAAAAAATTCAAACCGTGTAAAACCATTGCAACAGCCAGACATGTTTGTATCATTTAACTGAGAGCAGGCTCAAAATCTCTCAGCTCTGCAGCTCACATTGCCATCAGGCTCAGAATACCTTGTGCTTATTTAGAGACAAAGTGAGGCTATTTTCCAAAAGACTGGGATGCCAAACTCCACACATCACTCAAAGAATCAGATAAAGGAAAACCTAGGCCAGTGCAAAGCAAGAACATCCCCAGTAGAGTCCAGAAATTCACCCAAATCCACGCTACAGCACATGCTTGCATGCAATCAGTGTTACCTGTAGGCAGTCAGGGCTGGAAGCAGATCTGAAACTGTATTTAACTGAGAGCAAAAATACACCCAAAGAGCTTTTTTCTTTCAAGGTGCTCCAGGACCTGGTCTACAGTGCTGCTTCATTACATTGTAGAAATAAAAAACAGCCACAGAGCCCTTCTTCCTGCTTAGTTCAGAGTATTCAAACAAACAAACACTAGATCATCACACAAAAGACAGACATACAATAATTTTGCTGAAGACTGCTGTAATGTGTCGATCATGACTCTCCAGTCTTTCCTCTGGATCTTCATCCTCAAAGTGGACACTAGCACTTTTGATCTTGGACTTTTTTGGAGGAGCTGGAGTTAGAGGTGGGAGAGAATCAGGAAGACCTGAGGAGAAGAAGCAATAATAAAAAAAAGCAGTCAAGTTATTGCTGTATAACCACTGTGCAACAGGTACCACACCAACGCCTCCTAATAGCACCTTTTATTCCTCTGATGAGAAATAGAAGATGATTAAGAGTCCCCTGTCTCTAACTTGAAGTGTGTAGTGGAGAGAAACATGCTTGAAGATTCTATTTATGTATTGGCACAAAGTCTTTCCAAAGAGCTCCATAAGCAAGAAAGGGTACTGAGATCTTACTGCAAGAATTAAGGGAAGAAGTAAGGCTGTATAGAATCAAATATTGTCCTTGCAGGCTGTGTTGAGGCATAAAAGAGCACATTTCCGCTGCAAGCTGTTAAAAGTGAAGGATTTGTATGATCATGAACAAATTCCTTTCCACCTGCTATAAACAGATGACATTTCCTCTGCCTGGAACAAAGTACTGCAAGATTTATATTGCTGCTTTTAAAAAAGCACCTTGTGCTTCTGAGATGAAGCACATGACAAAAGTGTTACAGCTACTATTGAAAGAGAAAACAAAAACAAGCCAGATCTGCTGGCTGAAAACTGGAACTGCTAGGAGAGGTAAATCTCAAAGACACGGAGTCTGGGTAGTTGGCAAAATAAGCAGTGAGAGTCCAAACAGTACAAATTACAGAAAACACCTCTTGCTGGCAAGGTATCACAGACAGCTGATAAATGGGGACTAAAGCAGCAAAGGTGGTTGTACTGGATGCTAGTAACATTGGACAAGCCAATTTCCAAGGCAAAGGAATAATACTGCAAGAAGGGCACAAATGAAAGGGAAAAGCAACACTGGGTTGAGAGACCGAGAATCTTAGTAATTCAAAGAAACAAACAAATTTACCATCCAACATGACTACATCTTTGCTGTCCTGTAGTGGGGGTCTCTCAGCATCAGTGTTCTGTTCCTTCCCTTTCCTCTTGTCTGCTTTCTTCACAATCTTCACTGCAGGTGAAGCTCTGGCTGCCAGGAACTGGTTCTGAAAGCGCAGCAGGTCTGCCTCGGACTCCCCAGGCTTTGGTCTCGACAGCATCCTGCCTCCTTGCTCTTGCAGCCCAGCCACACGTGCTTTTCACACAGGACTCGAACCCATGGAAAATGAGGAACAGAGCCAGATTTCCTGGAGATAGGATGGGGACAGCAAGGAAAAACTACTCATTTTTCTTACTTTTCTACACAGACTACAAAACCCCTACTTCAGGATCTTCCAAACACAAATACTTAAATGTGACTCCCACACAAATTAAACCCTGTTCTTCACTGTTGAACAAAAGACTACTTGACAAGTCTGCACAAGGTGTGACAGCCAGCTAGGAGCAGAATGGCATCCAGCCACCAAAAAGACAGACAAAAAGTGCATCACTGCCAGAATGCCAACAACATGGCCTGGGATTTGCAAAGTCGGAGTAACAATTTGCCCAAGACAACAGACTTGAGTTGCTCAATTATCAGTGCCAACCAAGAATCTCAGAGGCACAGTATCAGACAAACTGCTTGCTCCAGCATATCATCTTCTCCAGATCCCAGCATTAACATCCCTGGCAGGATGCAAGTGACTGTCCACACAAAACTGGACAATGCACTCCCTGAATCTGTTTGCTCTCCTTCTCACTCACATTTCCCAAGTGAAAAATGTCTTTCTTCCTCATACAGACCTCCTCTTCTCATTCTCTTTCACTGGCCCCTTATTGGCAGAAGCTGTGCTATTTCCAACCATCTCCATTCACTGCCCAGGCCAATTTGGGGTTGAAAAACAAGGGTGAGATTTATACAGACTTTTTTTACACTGCACACGTGACAACTCACCAGGAAGGCAACTACTCCACCTCTCATCTACCAGGCATGAAAATACTGGTGACTCTTGGTCTCCACTTCTGATTCCTAGAGGCTGCAACCAGCAATCTGTTTCTCACAGGCAGCAAGTAAACTGTTTGCAAATATATTTCATTGTACTCCTAGCAAAAGCACACACCTACTTGCTGTTTATTTATGGAGCTTGCTGCCACAACAGGGCTCCCACAGCCAGACTTCACTTGCTTGGACCCTCTTTGATATCCATCAGAAGCAGAACACGCATCCCAAGCCAAGCGTTCCCTGCCCTGTCATCACAGGTTTCAAAGCCCAAAAGAGGAGGATGCCTGCTTTAACAGGCATAAAACACACACTTGGAAGCAAACCGTGCTGCTAAGCTTTCTGCAAGAAGCCTCCTCCACACAGAGCTCTACATAAACTTGTCCAAGTCTCTCCCTACCAAAACTTAATCAAGAAATACAGAGCATCTTCAAACTGCCTTTGTTTTGCTGGAAAACTGTCAGCACAAGAAGACGGCCAAGCAGCCATTGTTAATGAGGCTGGATGTTCTTCCAGGAATCCTTCCCTCAAAGGCTTTGCTTCAACACACATGGGACCTGCAGACAGAATGAATGCAGGGAAAACTCTTTGCTTTCTTCTCGGGGCACCTTTTCCCGTGTCCCATGGAAGCCATTGCAACACATCAGCAACACTCCCTGGCTGTCAGGAGTCCTCATTCCTACCCACCAGAGCTCAGAGAAAGCATGCAGGACAACTAACAAACTCCTGAGGATCAACACTAACCTCAGCATCCTGCAGCCTGGTTACCTCCAGCCTTGCAACTGGCTGCTTACACCATCTGTTTGCCCAGAGAGGCCACCAGCCAGCCAGTGTAAGCAACACACTGAGATACTGTCCTGGAACACAGGCGAGGGATCAAAACTGCTCAAGGACTATGAGCACCTCTGCGCTCCACTACACAGTGATTGCTGTGTGGACAGACTACCATCTTACTTGATAAAATCCAACACTGGTAGGCTTTTTAATTTCTTCTGATTCATCAGCATTTACAGTGCATTTTTCTTGCTCGGCAGCAGAGCCCAACATGCAAAGGCAGACAGTACCATCTATGATGATGTTACTGTGTCAAAAGACACAGTCAAGACAAAATTTGTATATGTTGAAGTGAAAAAAAATCATCTCTGACTGCTACCATAATTTGTGAACCCTGGGGAAGGCCTTTTTACCCATTCTCAAATCTACAGCTTTGCATTATTTTCAAAAATTTATCAGATTTGGGCGAAAGAGGCACACAAGGTCCTGCTGTCACAATTAGTGCCTCAAATTAACCTCTTTCTTCAGACCTTGTTGGTTGTGGCAACAATTTAAAAGGAGATTAGAAGAGAGTCATATCTCAAGTCTCTCCTGGACAGCCCAGTAGCCAGTGGAAAAGTACAATTTCCCCACTTGAGATCAGCAGGCAATGAAAGCCTCACTCTGGATTACTGGCTCCTTTGCAAAATGGCGATATGCATTCTCTGCTCTGTCACAAAAATGCTTTCTGCACACAAGGCTATAATGGCCAACAGTCTTCTTGACACTTTTACTTGCTACAGAGAAGGCAGACACTGGAAAGACACTCCTCACAGATGAAAAACCCCAGCCACAAGAGTCAACAGCTGCAAGAAATTCTCTTCAGAGAGGCTCCACATCTCATGTTGGTCACAAAACTCAGTAACTGTGACTGCCTGTCGGGCACACACCGTGTGCATGCTCACAGCACCTTGCCAACAGAAACACTTCTGTCCCAGTTTGTCTCAAGTGTCTGCAATGAACAAAGAAACCAGAAAAGCGCAAAATAAAATGAGAAACAACAAACTGCTATAACACACTTTAGAGCTGATGGTTCCAGCGTTCCCACCGCGTTCACAGCCCTCATGGACTTTCAAAAACCACCCTGAATCAAGTCTCAGCCGACGGAGACTCGGCCTGGCAAGGCCTCTCTGATGGGGGGAGGGAGGGACGGCGAGCGGGAGTGAGGCACACAGCGGCACAGATCCCGCAGCATCTCCCTGCACGGCGGCCACAGCCACTGCACCGGGGGCCGCGCGGCGCCCGCAGCCGCGCTCCTCCTTACACCACGGTACAGGCGAAGTGCTGGGCCCCAGCTGGCTACACCGAGTGAGGCCAGGCCGGCCGTGCCCTGCCCGGGGCTCCCGCGGGCAGGAGAGGCCGCGCTGCCGCCACAGCCCGGTCACCACTCACCTGCGCGGCACCGCCGCTCCGCCGCCACTTCCGCCCTCCTCCGCCGCCACTTCCGCCCGGCCGCAGGCACTTCCGCCCGGCCCGGCCGCGCCGCTCCCGGCGGGCCCCGGAGCCGCGGCCCAGCGAGTTCGGCCCGCGGCACTGCCCGCGTTATCCTGGCTCCGAACACCGCCGCTGCATCCACTGCGATGGCTGCACACGCACAAACGCGTTCATGGCCACGCTGGAACTGCGCCTTGTCCTTATCGGAGGCGTGGCCGGGCCCGAGACCGGAGTGTTTTGAGGGAGCAGATGCATAAAGCTCTGTGAACATGGCTGTAATTTATTATTCATGACCGGTTGCTTGTAATACGTGCCAGGCTTTATTAGAAACTATGAGAGAACTGTCGGAACTTGCAGAAGATTTCATTCTAATGTTGGTTATTGATTTTAGTGCTTGGTCAACTTTCAGCTTTCTTTACAGAATGTGTCATTCTTGGAAGGCACCACAGTTTGTCATCTGGTCCAACCTCCCTGCTCAAGCATGGTCATCATAGAGCACAGGGCACAGGATTGCATCCAGGTTCTTGAGTATCTCCAGTGAGGGAGATTCCACAACCTCTCTGGACAACCTGTTCCAATGCTCAGTCACAGGTACAACAAAGAAGTTCTTCATGTGCAGGTGGAACTTCCTGTGCATCAGTTTCTACCCCTTCTTTATTTGTCCTATTTCTTGGCACCATCAAGAAGGGCCCTGCTCCATCCTCTGACACCCTCCCTTGACATACCAATAGGCACTGGAGAGGATAGACCTGGGAAAAGAATTCTCTGAGCATGAGAACAGGCACAGATCTCACTGGGGCTTGGTGGGCTCACTGGGAAGGACTCACCACAAGTGCCCTGATGCTGTAAAAAATTAACAACTTTTTCACAGTTTGGTTGTTTTTTTGGTTTTTTTTAATACCTTTGGAAAGCTGAAATATTACTGAAAAAATGCAGCCAGAAACAAATTTTATCTGTTTTGTTTACTGAAAGCGCTTTAATCTCTAGATTTCTGTTCATCTTCAGGCCACACATGAGAGCACCACTGGTTTCAGAAGGGTGGGGCAGTTGCAGTGCTGTGAACAGATTTCTCTCTCCCCCTTCAAGGTTTTCCTGGGGCTGAGCTTGGGAATGGTTTCCCGTGCACCCCATGGACACAGTTCCATTCTCCCAGCTGGACAGTAAGGCAGGGAGGCCGTGGCACTGCTTGCCTTGGGACGTGTTTGGGTGAAAGGTTGGGACTGCTTAGACTGTCTGACAAGTGCTTATGGTTCTGGTTCAAGACAGCTATGAGCATTTTCCCTCCTCTCACACTGGCTGCACAGCTTCTGTGGCCACACACACAGTGTCTTTTAGCATGCAGGTGAAATGGGGATATAATCTTTTTTTGCCAGAAAGAATACAAATATAATATATTTGATTTTAATTACTGCAAGACAGGAATGCTTCCTATCAAAGCTGCCAGAGTTGTATGTATCTTTCCTTCATTCCATTAATTATTTACCTGCAGTTTTAATAATACAGTTAAAGGTACTATATATAGCTTCTGCTCTATCAATAAATCATGCTTGTGTGTCTTCATATTTGTCCTATAAAATTATAAGTACCAACATGCTTGCATGGATTTGCTAAGCAATTCTAGCAATGAAATTCCCATCAGTGCATGTCTTGGAGTCTTTTGTGGTGAATTCAAATATTCCTAACTCAATGAGAGCTATTTTGTGAGACTTCTTATGAGATATTTTTTTATGAGGTCACCAGTCTTTTCACAAATCCCAACAATCTCCTTCATCCCCCTTCTTATAGCTCTATGCTGATTTAAAACCCAGCAGGAATATTAAACCTACTTGAGCTGCTCCCTTTCCCCTGCCCCTTTCCAGCAGTGGAGGAAACACTAGGAGAGATTATAAATTGGAATCACAGTTTACTGAAAAATTGCAATAACCACAACAATATTAATAAAACAGTGTACAAAAGAGAGAATCTTTTACCCCCCTCAAAGGGTACCACTGAACAAACAAAAACACTTCCCAAAGACCACATCCAGTGTGGTTTTCCAAAACAAAGACAAAATGATGGCTGGCCCAGTGCTAGGCAGCATGGTGTATATGGAAAAACAAAAGCAGAATGTTGAAAGGCTTGCAATTTAACTTTCCCTCTAAGACTGAAAACAATGGAAGAGCAGGGACAAGGCAAAACCTGGTAGGACCCGACAGGCCTCTGAAGCAGGTCAGAGGACCCTCCTCCTGGGCCTGACTTTGCAGGAGCAGGACTGGAGAGCTTGGTGGTTCCAGCAGCAGCTCCAGTGGCTGCTGTCACAGCAGCTGCAGCCTGGGCTCCACATGGCTCAGCTGGGCTCTGCCATGGTGCTGCTTTCTCTCTTTTCTTTTTCTCAGAGCAGCTCACCAGCTCTTGGACTCACTGGCACTGTCTTTGAGCATCAGTCAGAAAAGCCACATCCCCAAGCATAGCAAAAGATGGCCACTCTTCCAGCCCCTGACTTCCCCCGCTCCAGCCCCGTTCTTGCCATGACATGAATAGTATGGAATTATACAGTGCTAGAAATTCTGTCCCTTTCGTCTATAACCATAATTAACTCATCACAGTTTGGCATGACTTCTTGACCTATCACCAAACCCAAGAATACACACAGTCATAAGGTCAATGCACACAAGCCACCTTCCCCATCCCATAAATCCAAGGCACATGTGATCCACAATCCAGGCTCAGTCCATCAAACTAATCCTTGGGTTGCATTGCTTGAAACAGTTCTCCTGTTTGTTCAGCAATCTCCTTCATCTTCTGACGTGCCTCTTCCATTGTGGTGGTAGCGTTATGGACAGTGACACAGCATTCTCCATCCGTTAGGTTTAGCATCCCACACACTCCATTCTCTTTCAGCAACAACATATCTATGGCTAATCGGCTCTGCAAAGCCATTTCTGGTGTCTGTGGGGCCTGCACGTTCGGTTCCCCGACTGAACGTCCGGTCCAGTTGCTTAACACGTGGACTTGCCTAGTTAAGTTCTCCAAGACATACTTGTGCTGTTGGATAACTCCACTGGACACAAAAAATGATTCTAAGTCTAAAGCAACATTTTGTCCCCAGGTGTAATAGTTGGGGACTTGAATCCCCTGAATCCACCCTTTTGCATCTGTTGGATTGTGGATTTCTCTCCGTGCTTTGTTGTTACGATAAAGTGTATAATTGAACGTTTTAGATGGACACATGGTAGGAAACCCAATAGTACACTGGAGTCCAGCCATATCATACATGTTCAAGTGGGAATACATTTTCCCATCTGAGCATGCCCATACCGTTCCCCGTGGAGCTGGATATTTGGCTTGCGAACACTGATAGAGGTCACCGTGGGGAACTTCCTGTGCTTCACTACTTGAATTCCAGACCTTTCTTTGGTCAGGGCCATGTGTAATGGGAATGCCACAGGATAGCGCTGTCTCCGAATTTTCATAAGACCCATTGCATCGGGTGTCTTGGTTTAGATAGCCGTAGTTGGGATAATCCCAACAGGTACACATGTCCCGGATAAAAGTTCTCAGCTCCGAGATGTACCAGGTTTCTATAGGCTCACCTGCTCCTGTGGTACAATCTAATATACGGGAACAATTCAGAAAGGAGGTCTCTGATTTACTTTGGGTAAGGCTTCTACGGTTCCTCACTTTCCAGCAGATGCTCTCTCCATTAGGTAGTGTGGTTTGGTGGTCCTTACAGTCTGATTTCTCCACTTCCCATTCTACTATTTTCCCTGTGGGGACCCTGGAAGCCCATTGTAGAGTAGATATAGGGTCAAAGATTTGTTTCAGAGACCAGGCCCACTCATAATTTGTTCGGTTAACTTGGTGCGTGGTTCCTGGGTTATCAGGGATTTGTATACACCATCCTGCATCCCAATGTAAATTGTACTCATGTTCAAAAAACCCACCCTCAGCAGGAGAATCCCACCATGGTACCACCGTGCAAGGGATAGAAGTGACATTTTGCACTGTCTCAGAAGGGTTGGTGTCTAATGACCGATAGCATGTCTGATTCCATAAATCACTCCAGGTAGAGTCACGTGGGAGCTGGTAAAAGGCGTTCTTGTATTCTACCCATGTCCCATTGGCATCCCATTGTTGTCCTTCTTTCTGGTCTAGGAACTGGGACTCCACCATTCCCCAGGTAACATTTCCACCTGTTTTTTTAAGATTATCCAGTTCTCTTGTTAATATTTCCGAAAAATTTAACCAAATCATCATAAATCTAAACCCCTCTGATGCAGAGTTGGGGAGGTTAATACATATTCCTTGATTTGTATGATTCCAAATATGCATAAATCCTTGTATCAATTCCCAAGCTAAATTTGGTTCAGTACTCTCATTCTCAGTCGCTTGAGACAAAATCATACACCCGTAACATAAGAGTAAAAACTTTTCCCACACCATTTTTTTTCTAGTAAAAAGGCAAAATAGGCTTAGCAAAATCAAACTAAAAAATACACAAAATGATCCGTCCACTCAACAGTTGATAGCATAGGTCCAGCAGTGGATTTCAGATAATCTGTAAAACACATACATGCATAAAAACAAAACATGATTAAAAGGAGGGAACAATCTACTACCTGGCACACAAGTTAAGTGGCTTTTTTAAGGTCAGGGGTACCAATCCCACTCTTGGCAATTCTGCCAAAAACAGCTGTCCTAGGTAATGGAGAGGATTTACAGGGTCTTTAATTTATTTTGTTCCAGGAGCAAGGGTGTGGATGAAGACAAAGGGCTGTGAGTTATGGGCACCCACTAACTCCCCAGCAGCTACTGACTCTATATGTACCCCATTTGACATCCTCTTGCCCATTCAGGTTCATGAGGTTTCAGGCTCCTCTTCAAGAGTCCACTGGTGCATTCAACAACCTTATTTGGCTGGGGATAGTATAGAGTGTGAAAGATCCACCAGATTCCTTCATCCTGTGCCCACTCTTGAAACACTCTTGCAGTAAAGTGACTGCTGTTGGATTGGAGGGATTGGGGCCATGCAAATAATTAAACCACAGCTTCAGT